CTCGGAGTGCAAGAAGCTTTTCGAATATCTGCGCGAAACGGAGGAGCTGCACGAATGGGTAGGCGATCAAATGACTGTCACCGCCAGCGAGGATTACGGCGAGGATGTCGAGCATGTGGAGCAATTGATGCTGGCCTTTGAGTCCTTTGTGTCCAATCTGAACGCCAATGAGGCGCGTGTCGAGGCTTGCCTGGAGCGTGGCGATCGCCTGATACAGGAGAACAATCCATATCGCAATTCCATCAAGACCAAGCGCGACGAGACCAAACAGTTGTGGGATGAGCTCAAGGATTTGGTGAATGCTCGCCAGGATGCGCTTGCCGGCGCCAAGCAGGTGCATGTCTACGATCGCGTTGCCGACGAGACCATCTCGCTGATCAACGAAAAGGATGCTTCGCTCATCTCGGAGGATTATGGTCAGGATTTGGAGAGCATACAGGCGCTGGGGCGCAAACATCAGGTGTTTGAGGGCGAACTGGTGGCCATCAAGGAGCAGGTTGATTCGGTACTGGCCGAAGCCGTCAAACTGGGCGAAATCTATCCCGATGCCCGGGAACACATCGAGGTAAAGCGCGACGAGACCGTCGAAGCCTGGACGGATCTCAAGGAGAAGACAAATGCGCGCAAGAGCAAGCTGAACCAGGCGGAACAGCTGCAATCCTACTTCGATGAATATCGCGATCTGGTCGCCTGGATCAACGAGATGCTGGCCAAGATTACGGCGCCCGAGCTGGCCAACAGTGTGGCCGGCGCGGAGCTGTTGCTCGCCAGCATCAAGGATCATCATGCCGAGATACGCGCCCGCGACGAGACCTTTGCCAACTTCACGGCCAACGGCCAGAAGCTGATCAAGGAGAAGCACTTCCTGGCACACGAGGTGGAGGATAAGATCAAGGTGCTGCAATCCCGTCACGAGCTGCTCGAGCATACGCTGCAGCAGCGCAAGGAGATCTATGAGCTGAATCTGGACACACAGCTGTTCCTTAAGGATGCCGAAATACTGGAGCAATGGATCAGCAGTCGCGAGCCGCAGCTGAAGGACACCAAGCTGGGTGACTCCATACCCCAGGTGGAGGATCTGCTGCGCCGGCACGAGGACTTCGAAAAGACAGTGGCCGCCCAGGAGGAGAAATTCCAGGCCATCAAACGCATTACGCTGCTCGAGCAGCGTTTCCGCAAGCAGCTGGAGCACGAGAAGCTGGCCAAGCTGAAGGAGAAGGAGCGCCTCGAGAAGGAACGCCTCGAGCAGCTCAAGCAAAAGGAGCTGCAGCGCCTCAACGACGAGCGCCGACGCGCCGAGAAGCAGCAGGAACATCGCAATAATGCCGCCGCCCAGGAGAAGACGCCCATCTTCTCCGCGCCCATGGTGACCATCAGTGGCAGCAACACCGGCGGCAGCAGTGCACCCGGCAGCGCCACCCAATCGCCGGCCATTTCACAGGTACAGCTGCGTCCACCCTTCCAGGATCAGCTGCAGGACGAGCAGCTCAGCCTGCAAAAGAGCAGCTCGAGCGGCATGTTCGGCGATCGGTTGCGTCGCGGCTCCGCCGATGCCAATGTGAAGCGCGCCGAGAGCATGAAGGTGCAGCCAAAGCAACCGAAGCGGACGCCATCCTTTACGACGCGCCGTCGTGCTCAGTCCTTCCGCAAGAACCAGAAGGGCGAGGGCTTCGATTTGCCGCCCGTGGAGATTCAGGGCATGCTTGAGCGTAAGCACGGCCTGCAATCGGGCGGCAAAAAAGCGCCCGTGCGCTCCTGGAAGCAATTCCATACGGTGCTCTGCGGCCAATTGGTTTGCTTCTTCAAGGACGAGAACGATTTCCTGCAACAGAAGACGGCAACGGCACCCGTCAATATTCTCGGAGCCAAGTGCGAACGCGCCGACGATTACACAAAAAAGAAATATGTCTTCCGGCTAAAATTGCCCGACGGCTCCGAGTTCCTCTTCGAGGCACCATCGCTGGACATCATGAACGATTGGGTACGCAAGATATCCTTCCACGCTAGTCTGCCGCCAAATCTACAGCTGCTGAGCTACGACGAGTCCATGAAGGTAAGTGGTCTCTAATGGGTGGTATCCAACTGGCAGATACCCTGTACTCAGCTCCATTTGTCCCTCTGCAATAGATTCATAGCGAAAAATGTTTTGTGTTTGTTTTGTTTTTCTTATAAAGTATTCAAAAGCCACAGCGAATCGACTTTTATCGATTTTAGTGGAATAAATGTCGACATATTTCGATCAAAATGTGAAGGAATTACTTTAGCTTTTATCTCTGAGATTAACTGTCTGTTATATACCCTTATTTCCCATACCCCTTACCCTTATTCAAACACTCCATTTAAATCTAACCAAATATCTGTCTCCCTTTTGCAGCAACAATCGAGCAGCTCGCCGGACATTAAGGTTACCAGCAACGTGGAATCACCCGTTAGTTCACGCAATTCCTCGCCAGACTCGCAGCGACGCACCAGCAGCGGGCATACCCTGGACACGGCCACGCCCCAAATGGCCTTCCTGCAGCGACAAATGCAACAGCAACAACTGCAACAACAACAGCAGCAGCAACAACAATCCCAGCCCAGTTCACCCACAGCCGGATTCGATCAGAAGCCGCCGATACCACCACGTGGAGCGCCGCCCGTGGCCAGCAGCCGCCAGAGCCAGGAGAATCTGGTGATGCGCAATCGCCAAAGTTCCAGCAATGGTAAGTAAAAAAAAAAAATTTTTTAAATTTTGAGAATTGTTTACATGTCTGCCACGCACAGATCTGACCGATGGCCGCCTGCAACAATCCGCCACGCTTCCCGCCCAGAATGGAAATAGCAAAGATGACAGCGCCGTGATGATGCGCAACAGCGAGTCCAGACAGTCGGGTGAGTAGCTTCGGGTTGGCGTCCCAGTGTAGCTAACGCCTTCAGCTATTTGTGTCTGTTCCCACACACACACACACACACACATATATACACAAAAACTCACACACACATACCTTTTGTCATCCATTGTAAAACGAAAAAAAAAAAAACGTGTCCCCTGCCCAAATTCGACTCGTAAATATTAGATAATCCGCCGCCATTGCCCACAACAATGCCGCCCCTGGGCAGCAGCGCCCATCAGCAGCATCAGCATCAGCATACCCATCAGATGCCGCATGCGGCGCAGGTGCAACAGCGCATAAATGCATTCAATGCAGCAGCCAATCAACAGCAGCAGCAGCAGCAGCAGCCCGACTACTACAACAACAACATTGTGCGGCAGCAGCAACAACATCTGGGAACGCCGCAGAGAGTGCCCTCACTGGGCAGCGGACGCATCGACTCGACGCGCAAGTTCATTGAAATGGAGGCGCATGCGCCGGGCAACAGCTATAGCAGCAACAGCAACAATAACGGGCACAGCTCCGGCAGCAGCAGCAGCAGCAGCACAACGAAGCGCACCGTTAGCTACTCGAGCAGCGGTGCGAGCAGCAATGGCAACGGTAATGTTATGCAAAAGAATAGCACAGCAACAACTATGACAACAACGACAACAACGATACAACAACAACAGCATGCGACAAGCAGTCGCACGGTTTGGCATCTAACGAGCTCACCAACATCATCAACAAAATCATCATCGGGCTCCGTTGACCATAACAATGCCATCAGTAATCCAAGCTACATGGGTCTACATTTAAATAACAATAACAACGATGGAATCGGTACACAAACAGTTATCCTAACATATATAAGGCTTGCATTTGGTTTACCTATTCTTTAGTACTTTGCGGCATGTAGTCAGTTGCTGGAGCTTAGCTTTTGGTTATTGGTGCTTCAGCTGTCTCTCTCTCTCTCTCTCTCTCTCTCTCACTATTTTTAACTCTCTTTTTTGATTTTCTTTGATTTGCATGCCAAAAAAAATATATATATATTTAAACTGTGTGAAGGTTCAACTGTAAAGCCGGTGAAAATAACGCGTCGTTCCTATCTGCGCACGAGTTTGCAAAGTATATTGAAGTTTCTCTCTCTCTCTCACTCTCTTAATGCGTTTACTATAGGCTAAGAGTACTCTTTATGCACACTCACAGTCTTTTTTGTTAACATCATACGCTCTCTTTTATGTTATCATGCATGCGCTTTCTTCATCAGACGCCGCACTGCTCTGCTCACACATATTCACTCTCCCGATCTCTCTCTCTCTCTGTTTTCCGCACAGGTTGGGGCAACACTCGCTTTGAAAGCAATCGACCCGTGTCGCTGCAGCCCGACTCGATCAGCTTTACGCGCGCATCGGCCGAAAGCTCCAGCGAGAGCGAAGCTCAGTCCATTTCCTCCGTTTCGGGTGTGAAGGGCAGCAAGAGCAAAGAGGAGCGTCGCAGCGGCATGTTCCGCATATTTGGCCGGAAGGGCGGTGACAAGGAGAAGGAGAAGGAAAAGGACAAACGCCGATCGAGTCAAGCGCCGCCACAGTGAAGCAAATAAGTATATACAAAATTCCAGCTAAGCTTAAACAAAATTTCTTCGGACAATTGCATTGGAATATTGACCGCGTTGGCGGTGCCAATTGTTTTTGTATTTTTTATATACATATATAAATGGTAAATATTTAATTCTTAACCCACAACATTGCCAACTGGGCAAACAAAATTCGAAACAAAACAAAAAAAAAAAAAACAAAAAACAAAAAAAAAAAAAACAATAAAAATAAACTATATATAAATATATGAAAATGTGTCTTGCAACGTTGAAACAATATTATGTAAAACAGTCAATGTTCTAATTGCATTATAAAAATGTAACTATAAGTTTGTTCGTTGTATGCTTATGCTTAAATTTAATTTTTTCGTAAAACAAAACAAAAAGAAAACAAAACCAATAAAAATTATTATATTATATGTGAAAATTCAACTTCCGTTTGATTTTCTCATTGAACATTAAACAATAGATGGCGCCTGCGGCCGGGTTTAATTTTCGAGGCATTTTGTATGCATTTTATTATTGGCAAGTAAAACTGCGCTTAAGCCTAGGATTTAAGGATATAATATGCATATGGATAAGATCAATATTGTATGGAAAGGGCCCTTCCACCGGTTTTGGGTATTCTTCGTGTCTCCTAAATACAATAAAAACAAGCGAGTAGTCGACTATACAAATCCGAGTCAAGTCCGTGTCGTTCCGTTTAGATCCCGGTCTAACCATAAAGACGACCATGCGTCGACGTGGTCTGATATTGCACCAGATTTCCGTGCGTCTGCAGCTGCGGCTGCTGATAGTAGGCGGCCTGATGGTACAGAGCTGGTGAGGCGGGCTCATTCACCTGGATCTGATGGTAGTTGGTGATGGGCTCGTGCTCGACCACCTCACGCACCGTCTGGAACGGATGGTTGACCACGATGCGGCGCTTGTGGAAGGTCTCGCTGGTCGCAGCGGCATCGGTGGGTGCGGCTGTGGCCGAGATGACGCGCTCGTTGGGCTGCAGGTGACGATTGAGATGGCCGGCGGCGCCATTGAGCGACACGTCCACATCCAGCTGGGGCTGGGCAGGCGTGGGTGTGGCCTGTGTGGTGGGAACAACGGCGGCGGGCGCCTCAACCAGCCGCTGAAACTGTTGCTGAGGCTGGCGCAAGCGGGCAGATTTCTCCCGCTGCATCTCCGCTTGCTCCTCGCGCGTCTGATCGCAGTCGGGCTTCAGTGGGGTTATCGTTGCCGTGGCCACAATGGACTGATCCCGATCATCGTGATGCGGTATTTGCAAGTGAATTTGTGCCTTGGCTGCTTCCTTGGACTGCTGCTGCTTGGGCGCCTCCATCAGACGACCAGATTCCTGCTCCGGATCGTAACGCATGCGCGAATACGGAGCACTATACTCCAGCTCCTCAGCCAGCGGACTACGCTGGCGGGCTGCCTGCGGATAGTAGGTGCGTGGAGCGGCGGTTCGCACCGCCGACTTGGCATAGACCACCGTGGGACCCGAATGGCTGCGCAAATAGGGCTTCAGCTCGGCCACATGGGCGGGCAGCTCCTGACCCTGGCTGGACACCGGCAGCTCCGTGATGCGACGTTCCTTGGGCGGCGGCTGGCGACTGCGACCCAAATAAATATTATGCTGCGATGGCGGCAAATGAATCTTGTGCTCGTGTTTGATTATCTGCGGGCGCGGCGCCTCCTCGAGACGCGCCGGCTGCGTCTCGACATTGCCAGCATTGGCATTGGGCAGAAACTCGCCGCTAAAGTAATCCTCATTGCTGGCACTCTGATAAGGCTGGCGATTGTAGCTATTCGTGCGCTGATAGCTGCGCTGGGGCGGATAGCTGGGCTCGCTGCGGACGTAGTCGTAGTCCGGCTGCTCGGGCTCTAGGCGTGTAAGCATCTTGGGTGTCAGATGCTTCTTGTTGATCTGAAACTGATTGCCGTTGCCATCGGTAGCAATCACACTGGAGCTGGAGCTGGGATTGGAGCCGGAGGTGGAGCTGGAACTGGAGCTGGACTGGCGGTTGCCATCGGTAGCATCGCTGCCTTGCGGCTGCTGCTGCAGCTGCGCCTCCACATACTCATCCTTGGGCGCCTGATCGTAGGCGGGCATGGTGGTCACACTGGAGCCAATTGTGGTCACCTGAGCCTGCTCCTTGGCTGGCGCCGGCGACCTGTACTCGTTGCCATTGTTGTAGCTGTGCGTCTGCACCTGTCCATTGTGATTGTCGTAGGCGGAGGCCACGGCGGGATGCGGATGACCCAGTGGCAGCAGTGTCTCACCTTTGGGTATCTTGGCCACCGGATGATCCAGCTCCACGACAAGTGTGCCCGCCGGCTTGATAACGACGCGCTCTTCTATGTCGTAGAACTCCTTCTGTATGGCCGGATGACGCACCTCGTATTTCTTAGCCTTGAGCGCCGGCTGCACAATCTGTATGGTCTTCGTGACGAGTGGGCGTGGCGGTGCCGCATAGCCACGCTGTGGCGGTAAGTAGCCAGCCTGCTCTGCGTAGTCATCGTAGCTGGCGTCCACAGCTGGCGGATACTGATCCTGGTAGTCATCCTGCACATCCTCATAGCCGCTGTAGCCGCTCTGGTCGTAGCTGGGTCGGTTGTAGCTGCTGCCGGCATCGTAGCCGGGCTCGTATGAGGAATCAAAACCCTGCTTGCCATCGTTGGGGATTGATGCGGGCACCGTTGCAGGAGCCGAGCTGGAGCTAGAGCTGACACTGGCGCTGGCTGCGGGCGCAAGGGCTGCAGCTTGTACGGGCGCCGGCTGTGGCGGCTCGTAGATGGGTTTGCTGTCCTGCGCCTGCTCCACATTGGCGCTCTGGCCCTGCGACGCACCTGGAGCGGCTACCTGGCGCTCGAACATGCGCAGTTGCTGCGACTTGGTGCCGCCAATGGACACAGCGTCGTCGTCGGCAGCTAAGGAACTAGAGCTGGAGCTGCTGCTGCTGCTGCTGCTGCTGCTGCTGGACTGGGTGTAGCGCTGGGGCGAGGGACTGGAGGATTCGAAGACCTGGCGGGCGGGGCAACGAAATATGTTAGGCAAAAACAGCCCAGCTAATCTTCACTAGAACTCACGGTCTCCACGGACGGTCCATGGCTGTGATACGATTGAATGTAACGCTCGAATTCCTGATTCTGACGCAGCTGCTGGTTGCGCTGACGGAACTGGCCGCTGTGCGGCGGCTGCTGATGCATCGAGGGGCGACGTCCGTGCATGCGACGACGTGCCATGCGACCATTGGCAGAAACAGGAGCCGCCTGTGCTGGCTGCAGGCCCAATCCCTGTCGTGGTGTCTGCTGCGATTGTTGCTGGGATTGCTGCATCTGTTGCTGTTGTTGGGATTGCATCGACTGTTGCTGCTGTCCCTGCATCTGCATCTGCTGCTGCTGCTGCGGTCGCTCCTGCAGCCGCTGAAAACGTTGCTCCTGCTGCTCCTCCTCCTCCGGCCGATAGGGACCTGCCTTTAGTTCCGCTGGCGCATGTCCATCAATGAAGCTAACATCCGCCGGATTTGTGGCCGGCTGTTGGGCTATGGAAATGTTGACATGTGTCGCCGCATGGCTGGCGCCCACCAGCGCCAGCAACAGCATCAACAGCGCACGGCACATCATAATCCTCTCAAGCTCTCACTAGGCAGTCCGCTTTAAATTGTGCTGGGAAACGTGCAGCCGTCGAACTCGTCTCGTTGTGTGACCAACAGCAGCGCATGCGCCGCATATTTATACGCAAACGGGGAAGCTATCACGATCACAATCACAATCACAATCACGATCACGATCACGATCAGGTCGAACATAAGCGTATGAGTGTCAATGTCAGCTGGGGCACTTGACACCGGCCAAACACCCTGTTTAGGGATGAGCCGCTTGCCCCAGTTCTACAATTAAAGGCATGCCGGGCGAGCATCCAGCTGCCAAATGATGATGCACGCATGCCAACACTTTTGTTTTGTTGTGTGGCACGCGCATTTCAATTGCCAAAAAGAAAAACGAATCGAAGTATAACAAAAATGCGTCTCCGTAATTGGAGGCGTAATTGTCGGAAGGTCAGCTCTCGGGTCGAGCAGCGCCTATACGACGTATACGTAATATTCGGCCTGCAATTCGCGGATTGCGACTTGCAACTTGCCACTTGGAATTTGAACTTGAAATTGATTTTCTAAATGAGACGCTTACGCGCTGTAATTGTGTTTTAGTTTATTTTGGAATTTGTGATTTTGTTTTTGGCCAGCCGCGAAATTAGTCGCGAGCATGTTACACATACGCCCCGTGTGGCCAGTCGGCCGCCAGTCAGGCAAATTTACGCAATCTTTCAGCTGGGCGCCGAATTCGCAACTATTTTGGCGCATACGTAATGCCGGAGATACACCTCGATAAAGGTTAATGGCTAACTTTAAGCTGTGGGCGTGGGCGTGGGAGCCCTCACAGCGTCCAGTCATAAACATTTGACAGCTTAGCCGAAGTAAAGTCTTGAATGACTAAACAAAACCGAATGCTCCACGAACATTTTACAAATAACCCGCGAAGGTGCTCTTATTTAGTTTAAATAATGCAGACTTTTTGTTTAAACAACTCTACCAACAAATACAAATGTAAAGTAGGCGCTCAAATTTGAGGTGGAAAAAAAAAAAACAAAACCAAAAAAAACTGCCTAGGCCAATATTCAACACCTTTGTGAGCTGCATGCAAAACGAGATATGTGAAAGATATGTAATATGAATGTGAACTTGAATGGACGCGAGTTAAAGGGCATTCCATTTGCGTCTATGAATATCACATGCAGAAACCAGCCGACTTTTTCAGGGCCAAAGCGTTAGCAATTAGGAATCCTACAAAGACTCCCAAATATTTGCTTAATATTTCAATTCTATGCGAAACGCCTTTCAATTAATTTTCCAATAAAATATTTGTTCTTAAATAAGGTTCTGATAACACATTTTCTAATATATCCATGTAATAAGACAACATTATTCGTCGTCAAAATGCATATAAAATAAATTCCCTGAAATATATAGACATAGGTCAAAATATTCCATAACTTGGTCAAAACTCATCCGATTTTCACGAGGCTTGGCTTTTTATTAATGGTTTAGCCTCTAGATAAATTTGGCATAAAAATCTGGCAACACTGTTCTTGGTCCAAATTCATGTCAAAACGGTACTCTCGAATATCCTACATAGATATAGATCAAAATTTCCTACCCCAAAACTCGGTCAAATCTTATCCGATTTGATTAAGTGATGACTCTTTGTTCATGGTTTGGCCTCGTGTTCAATTTGTAATCTAAATCTGACAACAATATGCTAGTTCGAAAATCATAAAAGAACAGTAGTCTTATGTATGCATGTTTGTTTTGCATGTACATATGCAAGCATGCATGCATGCGTACATGTATGCATACATGTCCGGATGCATGCATACATGCCCACATGCACAAATACATGTATGCATGTAGAAATAAATGCATGCATGCATCCATGCACACTCACACACACATACATACATACATACATACATACAGACATACATACATACATACATACATACATACATACATACATACATACATACATACATACATACATACATACACACATACATACATACATACATACATACATACATACAAACATACATACATACATACATACATACATACATACATACATACGTACATACATGCTCTACATCTACATACATATCGACTTACCCGCTCCACCTCCTCCTGCTCCACCGCCTCCTTCACAGTTGCTCCTCCAGCGGCCGTTGGAACCAACGTTTCCTGCCTTGTTGAATTTCAGCAAGGCCTACTTGAACTTTTGAGAATCGAGGAGGAGAGCACTTGGTAGGAATTCGTTTTATTTAAATTTGCAGCACAGCGACAAATAAGCTTGGTCTGCGATTGGTGTTAAAAAACATACATGCATACATACATACATTCATGCATACACTAACACATATACGCCCACATACAAACACACATACATACACACACACACACACACACACATATGCATACGTACGCATATAAAAAACTTATTTGCCTTCGTAAAAAATAATTGTATTATTACTTGGTTTCATATAGGCTACCTATTCTAAAATTTGTTTAGAATCTACACTTATATATAGAATCTATACTTTATTTATAGTTCGTAATTTTATAAAAACTACTCTTTCAATAATTTCTGGGAACAGTTTGACAGTTCCAGACTTTCTGGACTTGTAATTGTCATAAAACCACCCATATTTATATAAGACATAGCGTTTGAGCCTTAGGTTGAACCTTTTAATCAATTCGACAAAAAATTTAAATGTACCTTTGGAAATTGTACATAACTTTGATATATATGAACAGATATTCAAAGAGAATATATATATATTAATAACCATGCATTTCTTTTAATAATAAGTTTGACCAGTAAAATAAGCTTCGGTTCCATTATATATAATAGTTTTTAGAAAATCAAACCAAGCGTCTCTCTCCCTTTCTCTCTTTAGTCCTGCAAAGCTCATAGGAGGCTCAATTTGATAGGATACATCACATCATACAAATTTGGAACTACAACAACAAAACAACTTCTAGAACCTCATTACATTGCCTTGATTTAAATCGAGAACAAAGGCAGCTTAATGTTGCTTTCACTCGATGCTACTTTAACAACAGTAACAACTTGTGGCTGTCAAATTGACAGGCAGATGGGTCTATAAATAGGAGGGAGCGGCATATAGTTAGTATACCAGGTAGTGCTTAAATTAAATCCGAGAGCTTGCCAAACTTATTGTCAGGGAACTGCGCACTTGGCAACTCGCATGGGCTGCTGCAGGATTTAGCTGGAATCGGGGCACACACGTGGGTGCCGTGTATTGCATACATAAATAACAATTGGAGATACGACGTAGATGGCACCTTGGAGGAGCAGCGGCAGCCGGAGGACAATAATAAAAATAAAGCTGAATACAAATATGAGACTGAGTTGGCTGAGATGATATTTAAATCAGCTGCACGCAGGCAGGTGAGCTGGCAGTTGGGCAGGTGGGCACGTGGCGTCGCCTGTTTACCACGCTTGCCACACCTGATTAAAATCTATTGACACCAAAACTGGAGCACTGCAGAGACAAACAGAGAAGCAAACGGAAATGGTTGCCCTCTGCCCACTTAATGAAACCCAATTACACCAGTCGACCGGGCAAACAAGAACAGCTGCAGAGAGTCGCTGGCGCAGCTGCCGCTACACCTGTTAACGCTATTTGCATTTTGTCGCCTTGTGTAGAAGCACTAAATATAATATATTTTATTATTATGTGTAAGAGGGCGCCACCCCCTCCTCCTGCTGTTCATCATCCTCTTTATGGGCAAGGACATGCGCAAACAACACCCCGACCACCCACCAATAACCTATCCAAGACCCGGTCCTTCCTCCAGCTGGAGAGCCGCTCACCTCAGTATAAATAGGGCGCTGCTTTGCGCACACAGCCTCAGTTGCTGGAGCGTGTTGCTCGCGTGGCCTTGTCCCTACGGCTCCTCTTGGTTTCAGTAAAAGTCTCACGTTACAAGCCGCAAACTGTTGCGAAAATCAAGCTGCAGCAAAAGTCGCAACAAAGGTTCTAAGTTCCCAGCGGATGTTGTTGTTTTCCATGTGTTTACCCAATTTACCGCCAATCTGTGTAATTGGACAACGTTGGAGTAATATTTAAGCCAAATCCAGGTAAGCCACACATTTGATTCATACATGAGCTATTCGAGCCGAAATATGACTATATTTTGGTCTGAATTGATTGTCAAGCTTAATATAAACAAATTAAATGGAGTAAATCGAACAGCTGGTTTTATATGGCAACACATCTCATATTATAAGGTTCTAGGCTTCAAAATAATTAAATTTGATGAGTTAATAAAAATTAAATTTAAATTATTGTATGTATAAAAGAATTAATCTCGAAAAACTGCCACACATTAAATACTATATGAAATGAGTGTCAAGAAATCATAGAAATGATAATAATTTTACTGAAATTTAAATATTTACAAGTAGCTTGTAGCTGTTGCAAAAAGGATGCAAGGAGTTGCATTTGCAGTGTTTCATTTCCATAAAACGCAGCGCTGCTTTACAACACTGCAAATGACCCAACTTGAACAGCGTTGCCAGAGTTGCAGTTTTGCAGCTTTTGCAAGCAAGAATTGATAAACGAAAAAGGAGAGCGAAATTTAATGACTCTTACAAATAGAAAAACAAAATCATATGGGGCAGAAAAATTAGTTACAAAAACAAAAGCACAAGAGCACAAATGAACGGCAACGCGTACGTAACAGACAAAAGCAGAAGCCGATAAAAAGCCACCCTTACGACGGGCGCCGCGTTGCCAGGCGTCAGGCGGCAGGCATCGGGCAGCTTTTCTAAGGGTTCGCATTCAGTTGAACAGCAAACTTCGAAGCGTACGGTTCGCAGTTCGGTTGCGTTTCTATTTTCTCCAACAATTTTCAGCTAACTTCTCGCACACTCACACCGATACCGTTGATAGCGACAGGCCAGCCAACCAGCAGACAGAATATTCGCTCATACACAGTGCTTGCGCGCGTTGTGTGTGTGTGTGTGTGTAGGCTCGTGTTCGTGTTAGTGCATATGCGTGTGTGCTTGTGTTGAGTGTGTGTGTGTTTTTCTCGACATTGTCGACGTTCTCCTCAAACCAAACACGTTAAAAAAAGTATATATATATATATATATATAAAAAGAAGTGCAAAGATGGCCGAAAATTGTCCAAAATGCAAAAAATCAATCAACTCGAAGGATGCAATCATCATCTGCAACTCGGACGACTGCCTGAAGAAGTTCCATCGCACGTGCGTCAATATAGACGATGCAATGTACGATTTGATACAGAAGAACCCAATGATATCGTTTAACTGTGATGAGTGCAGAAATCAATCACCGAAGGCGCTGTCCGCCAAATTGCACACCATCGAGGAGAAGGTGAACAAGGTGTGCAATGGGGTCAATCAGATCCAGGGGCGGATGTACCAACAGTATTTCCAATTTGGCAATCAGCCCGTCAACAATCTGGACGGCAAAAAGCATCCGCAGCAAAACAATCTCATCGTTGTTGGCAACAATTGCAATTCGGATCGATTGCAGGTCGTCTGCGACTACGGTCGCTGGGTGCAGGTGGGCAAATTTGCGACAAACACCAGCGAGGATGACATTATCGAGCACCTGGCCGAGGAGCTAAAGATCAACAAGAATCTGGTCAAGTGCACCAAGCTGGTCAAAAACGATGCCAACCTATCGCAGCTATCCTACTGCAAATTTAAGATATCCATACCGGACTATCGTTTCAATGAGCTGTTCAACGAGGCGATTTGGCCAAGTGGCGTTATGGTTAGCCCATTCACACCACGCTCTCAGCTGAATCAGAATCGCATATAAAACGAGAGAGACCGAACGGGCGCAGCAGCGAGAGCAAGCCGCGGCGGCAGAGAGCGCGCCTGCGCACCAATGGGCGGTGGGGTGGCTGCCGACAGAGAGTGTGAGAGTGAGAATGGCAGTGGGAGGGAGAGAGCGCGCGCGGCTGCTGAAGGAGGAGGGTTGCCTGTGCCGGTCGGTCAGCGACAATAGCAACCACAATAATAATAATAACAACAACAACAACAGCAGCAACAACAACAACAACAACCATACAGTTTTCATTCGATAATGTTTTGTGCCGGGTTGGCTTCACTTTGTATGCAACATTTTTCAACACTGACAACTCGAAAACTTTGTCTCAACACTTTTCGAAGCTTAAAGGCAAGAATTGCAGCCACACTGATTACTTAAAGAATTAACTTTGAAAATGCAATTTAAAATGTTTTAGCGTTGCGTAAAATTATCGAAAAATTGATAAGAAAGCAAAAGAAAACCAAAACTTAATATTTTTAAATAAACAAAACAAAACCAAAGTTAAATACTTAAATGTGCAGCAGAGTCAAATATTAGTCATTTATGCATAACTGTCGTATTTAAATTAAACAAAATGAAACTCAACTATTCAACCACAAAATCAAACCACAAATGAAATATATATAAATAATTAAGCTATTTAAACAAGAGGCACCGAAACCAAGTTTAATTTTTATACCTGCTAACAATCAAATTTCCCCTTATAGTTTTTTTTAATACTTATTTTAGTGTACTTCCCCGCAATTCCAAACCAAAGAAGTTTTAAACCAAAGCATTAGCTTATATACAACTTATTCTCAATAAGCATATTCAGCTATATTGTATTCGTATTTGCGTAGTTTGAGGCATTTTCAAAGCTTGTTCCCAAAAATTTCTAGAAATTTTGCGAACCACTTAAATGAACAATTTTGCAAATTGCAAATTGTAAAACATATTCAAAACAAAACTTATATGTATTTCTATATTCGAAACTATATTAAAATGTCAAATGAAAAACAAAACAAAAAATATAGAAACCTGTTCAAAACAACTTTAAAGAACATCAGTTGGGGGTTTGAGAATTTACATAGAGCGGCAGCTGGGCAAATAAATGTTGCAATAAACTCAACTCAAGAATATATAGAGATGTAATAAATATTATAAATATATATATTTCGTAATTGATGTATTTTTTTGTACGCGAAAACCGTTTCGCTAAACACACAGGAACACAATAGGATGACAAAAAAAAGAATATTTCAATGATCGCAGCCTCCGACGTTAGATTTTGGGCAATGGAACGGGGGCAGGGGTTCGTTGGAGGTGTGCATCATATAAAAAAAAAAGACAGCAAACGTAGATTTCTATTTACGCAAGAGAAATAAAAAAAAAGCAAAAGCAAAAAAAAAACACATATATTATATATTTAGTATACAACAATATGCATGCATGTATTTATGTCAACTTTTTCAATAAATTCTACAAAAAAAAAACCAACCAAAACTTAATTTTGTTGAACGACTGAATTATTGGAACGGCAGGGTATATATTAAAATGATCTCGAATCACAATCCAAAAGCAAAATTAGCTTAAACTGATTGCGAATTACAAGCCAAAAGCACTTTTGAAACAATTTAATATTATCATTTAAGTACGAATATCAATACCAAAATCAACCAAGACTGATTGTGAATTATAAGCTAATCTGTTTGGTCATATATAGCAAATTCAGCTTGAACTGTTTGTGAATTACAAGCCAAAGGCACACTCAATGCATTCGAAATGAGCTTTAACGGCTTTTAAGTTTTGTTTTCCTATCAGGGGCAACTTTAAATTCATGGCACATTTTTATACCACGCTTTAGTTTCTACTTTAAGCAGCCCCTCACCTCACAGGCAGTATGACCAACTCGAAACGCAAACAGCCCACAAAACCCACAAACACAACAGATGCCGCCGCAGAAAATAAATCCCCAGCTGCAGATGATGAGCCGTGCACAACCGGGACGGAAGAGGCAACAGATCCGGAGCCCAGTCCAACCGCACAGTTCTTTAAGCTTTGCTTTGGCCATGAGCTGCAAAACTTTGCTAGCTTGCAGAGTTTCACGCGCTGGCTGCAACGACCTGTGGATGGCGCCGCCCTGGGTGTATTCCGGATGCTCTATGGCGCCGCCATGCTGATTGACATAGCCGAGGAGCGCGGCGGGGGGCAGCTGGACGTGCGCTACGGTGAACCGCATCATTGTCATTTTCCGCTGTTCAACGGAATGGCCGCCTTGGACTACCCGCTGATGGGCTGCGTCTATCTGGCCATGTGGCTGGGCGCCTGGGGCATTATGCTGGGTTATCGTTTTCGGCTCAGCTGCCTGGCATTTGTCACGGGCTACTGGTACATCTTTTTGCTGGACAAGCCGGCGTGGAATAATCATAGCTATCTATTCGGATTGGTCGGCACGCTCTTGCTGTTCACCCAGGCGCACAGCTACTGGTGAGTGTAATCCTGTCAGCATATTCAATTTAATTTATCTTGTGACATCGCTTGCAGCTCCCTGGACAGTTGGCTGAGGCCAGAGCTGAGGCAGCCGGTGCCGTATTGGAATTACTTTCTCATCAAGTTCCAGTTCTTTGTGCTGTACATGTACGCGGGCCTGAAGAAGTTTTCGCTGGAGTGGCTCTCCGGTTATGCCATGTCCAGTCTCAGTCAGCATTGGGTCTTTGCGCCCTTTCGCCAGCTGCTGGACGAGGAGCTAATCGATTTGCTGATCATCCATTGGTTTACGGCCTTCTTCGATCTTTCCATAGCATTCTTTATGACCTGCGAGAAGACGCGTCTGCTGGTTACTCCGTTCATGATTAGCTTTCACTTGATGAACTCGCGACTCTTTATAATAGGTGAGCTCTGAAAGGAATTCCCTGCTTTAATCTTTAATGCCTCTATCGTTTGCATAGGCATGTTCCCGTGGGTCTGCCTGGCGGAGGTGCCGCTCTTCTTCAGCTTCGACTGGCCACGACGCTTAAGCTGCCTGGTCAAGACGATGCCAGCAGCAAAGGAGGAGAAGAAAGCTCCAATCGGCGATGAACCTGGCTTCAAGGATCAGTTGCGCAGCTGCATCATAATCTTCTATTGCGCGCTGCAGCTGTTTCTGCCCTACTCTCACTTCATCACCAAGGGCTACAACAACTGGACGAATGGTCTCTATGGCTACTCGTGGGACATGATGGTGCATTCCTACGATACGGTGCTGACTTCCATCAAGGTGGTCGACAATGACAACCAGAAGGTGCACCATCTGAATCCCTATGCATTCACCGAATACGATCGCTGGACAAAGTATGCGGACATGGCTGTCCAGTATGCCAAGTGCATTGAGAAGAACATCCGAGAGGACATGGATCAGCATCCGCAGAACAGTCCGCTGACCAGCAGCAACATTTCCATTTACTTTGACATTTGGTGCGCCATGAACGGGCGGTTTCAGCAGCGCACTTTTGATCCACGCGTGGATCTCCTAAAGGCGCCCTGGTCGCCCTTTAAGCGCACGCCCTGGTCACTGCCGCTGCTCACCGAGCTGAATCATATGCGTCCGAAACTCAAAACGATTGCCAATGAGGTGCTGGCCTGGAACAACTACTCGGATGTTATATTTGTCGCCGATTTCCCGGGTCTAACGCTGAGCAACTTCATCGCTCCGACTCTATTCAACTGCAGCCTGACAATACTCGAAGGTAATGTGCGCTACAAGAGCGCTAAGGATGGTGAGGCGTTCTTCCTGACGGCCGGCAAGAGCATTGGCCTGGAGAGCAATGCTACGCACTATGTGACCACGATTGGCCAGAAGCCAGCCTCCTATTTGTACACCTATGTGAACAAGACCATGCTGGAGCAGGACATTGTCATAGATGATGTGGGTCAGTCCAAGGAGCGTTCCTTGCTGCCGCTCTGGAAGGAGTTCAAGCAACGCCTTGCCAATTACCAACAGTTCCTCAAGCATTTGGCCAATTGCTTGCTCTACCTGCTATACGATGTGCCCATACCGATTTCCATTAGAGAGAGAGATTAAGAATGAAGCAGACGAGATTATATTCCACTTGCTGCAATGTATTTCCTTGCCTAAGTCCCTTAGTGTCACATAATGTGTGGGTGATAAAACTGATAATAAATGTTTAAATGTTATACCTCAGAAGATGACAATTTTGATTCCAACTCTTTCTTCAGAGCGTACCGAGTCAGAAAATGATTATCTTTCCAAGATTATGATATGAATTCCCAAGTTAAGGTCGTTTTATGTGTTTGTGAAGTATATTATAATCGGAGTAATAAATTTTCAAGCTTCACATAATGGATTTTCCTCGAAAAACATGGAACAGTTATCAAACGTATTTCCACAAAAGGCGTGAAACTGCTTTCCATCTGGACTTCAAATTAGTCTACTGGGAGCTAGTCACAGGGTATACTAGACCCTTGGGTGCTTGACTGTTCTGTTATCCATCCAAACAATGTTATGCTATATTTACATAATGCAAATATATACTTATATGTATAACTGTATTTACAAACCGGACACAATATTATTTTCAACCTAAATATTAACAAATCTCTGCACTTAAAATTTTGTGACCTCGTCAATTAACAAAGCGCATCATTAAAACTAGAAAACGTGATCAACGTGGCCAACAATAAGACTACAGAACGTTCGCTGTTTTTTGCTGCGACGCCTCCTCTGCGCGACGACTAGGATCGAATTGTTGGGTCTGTGTTTCCCACAGGCGGGCATAGAGGCCATTTTGCTTGAGCAACTCCATGTGCGTGCCACGTTCTCCCACACACCCATTCTCTAGCACCAGAATCTCATCGGCATCCTTGATTGTGGACAAACGGTGGGCAATGCAAATACTGGTGCGGCCCGAGGTAGCGCGTGAAAGAGCCTGCAATATGTTCTGCAAAAGGAAATGGCATCAGCTAAGTCGGCGACGCAAGCAAGCCAAGCAGGCCAAGAGACTCACATGCTCCGTGATGGAATCCAAACTGCTGGTTGCCTCATCGAAGATCAGAATGGGCGTATTCTTCAATATGGCCCGCGCAATTGCCACACGCTGCTTCTCGCCGCCGGAGAGCTTAAGGCCCCGTTCGCCGACCTGGGTTCGGTACTGATTGGGCCAGCTCATGATCGAATCATGCAGGTCGGCCATACGTGCCGCATTTTGCACATCCATGTGCGATTTGCTCAGGTTGCCGTAGTGTATATTATGTTCGATGGTATTGTGGAAGAGCACAGAGTCCTGAGGCACCACTGCAATGCTTCGGCGCAGACTGTCCAGTTCAACGCCGCTGATATCCTGGCCCCCAATTAAAATACGACCCGCGTTTGGCTCGAAGAAGCGAAAGAGTAAACGCACCATAGACGATTTACCGGAACCGGAACCACCTACAATGGCCACATTCTTGCCGGCGGGTATGCTAAACGACAGATCCCTAAAAATGGCCTTGCCCGGCTCATACTCGAAACTAACATTCTGAAACTCAATAGACGCATTGCTGTTGTCCACGTACAGTGGCTGCGCATTCGGCGCCGACTGTATGCCGCTGTCCACATTCATGAGCGTAAACATGGCCTGCATGTCCAGCAGCGCCTGCCGCACCTCTCGATACACGCTGCCCAGAAAGCCCAATGGTATGGACAGCTGAAATAGTAAGCCGTTCACCATGACCAGATCACCGACCGTCATATTGCCCTGGACAATCTCCTTGGCGGCCAACACCATAATTAAACTGAGCGCGCTGCTGAAGATCGCATTTTGTCCAAAATTGAGCAGCGCCAGACTGGAGCTGGTCTTCAAGCTGGCCGTCTCGTACTTCTTCAATACCTCGTTGTAGCAGCCGGCCTCGTATTTCTCGTTGTTGAAATATTTGACCGTCTCATAGTTGATCAGCGAATCGACAGCCTTGTTGCCCGCCTCGTTCTCCGCCTGGTTCATGTAGACGCGAAAGCGTGTGCGCCACTGCGTCACACTCAGTGTGTACAGGGCATAGACGCCCACACAGCCCATGCTAACGCCAGCGAAAGCTAGACCGTATTTAATGCCCAATAAGCTGGAGACCAGCGTCAGCTCGAAAATGGTGGGCACTATGTTGAACACCATGGCGGAGAGCACAAAGTTAATGCCACGTGAGCCCCGATCGATTGTCTTGGACAGCGCGCCCGTCTGCTTGTTCAAATGAAAGGCTAAATCCAGATTGTGCAGATGTAGGAACACATTGGTGGCTATCTTGCGTATGGAATGGTGGGCCACCTTGGCGAACACAGCGTTGCGCAACTCATTGAAGCCAGCGGCACTGGCTCTGGCAATGCCATCTGCAAATGATGCAATTTTTGAATCGCATCTAATGGTATTGAGATTTGGAGCACTTACAGCCGAGCAGCAAGGCCGTGGCTGCCGACAGTACTGCGTCCGGCGCTGTATCCATGTTAAGCGTTGTCATCGTATCCACGGCGCCTTTGAACATAAATGGCACACACACGGTCAACAGCTTGGAGCCAGCGAGCAGACCCAGCGAGATGCCAACACTGCGACAGGGCAAACAATTAGCTGGGGTATATATAAAGTCCTTTCTTTTGTGTTCAAAATTATTTCAGCTTTACCGCTTGCGTACTAATGCATCATCCTTGGGCCAAATGTATGCCATCATGGCGCGCAGCATATCCTTCGAGGTGACCTCGGGTGCGTCCAGTTTGCCCAGCGTTGCGCTGCCATCGTTGCCGCTGCTGCCTATATGAACGTGACATAGACGTGATTGTTGTTGTTGTTGTTGTGGCAGTCGTTGTTGTTGTTGTAGCCCTGCTGCTGCTGCTGTGGCTGCAACTGCATCGAATTGACTTTAATGCAGCTAAATCCAAACAGGCGCCAATACAACAAACGAACAGACAAACAAACAAACGAGTGCATTTTTTTTGGGCTTATCATGTTACATATTAGCTCAAATATAAACAAAAATTAGTTAGTCAAAGTAAAAGCACAAATATGCAATAAACAAAAAAATAAACAGCATTAGACATTGCGCATATCCTTGCGGAAGTGTGACTGATTAAAGCTCTGAGAGAAATCGAAAATACGAGACAAATGTACAAAATTTCTATGTACCTCTATTTAAATAGACGGTACAGTAATCACTGGAACATGTGAACTCCCAACAACTAAAACTGGACATTTACATCCTCCTGCGACTCAGCATTTTCTCCACCTAACTCCACAATCCTTTGGCGAAATGCATAATGCATAATCAAGAGATTAACTTAGGTATTCCTAGTCCGATCCTTATGAACTGTTGATGTCTTAAGTGTGGCATACAAAATCGTGTATATATAGTCCAATTTCATGGCAGGCATCCAAAAATTGAATTCCATACGTTTGACATATCTACATCTGAATATTTTCTTTCAAGTCCTTTTTTGGAAAATAAGGGAATCTATGTAATTGTGCACATCACAGAATATATATTTAAAATATCCACTCCTAGCTTTTGCAGCTTCCAAGGTCGACGTGTCCACACAAACAGACTTATATATGTCGGATCAGTAATCGTCCTGATAAATATGTGTGTATATATTCCTTATGTGAAGATGATTCCTTATGCCGGTTACATACATTAGGACAAGACCCTTATACCTATATTATCCACACTATATATGTTCAGCGCATTAAAAATCAATCATAAGCCCCAATCTAATTTCTAATTTCGAAGCGAACACAGTTCATATTTAAACAGATTATTTATAACATTGAATTTAACATAAGCGTGGCGCGCTTTCAGTGGCACTTGTCTGTTATAGAAGCATTTAAAACACACTCTGCGTGGATATACTACAGCAAGTTATCTACAATATGTTAGGATAGACTTGGACCTACCTTTTAACTTCTTGGCAAAGACGCCGCCAAGTAATTTGTTGCCTGGTGTGGGCGTAAACGGGGTTATCCTCTTGTTGGACTTGGAATTGTGCTGTGAATCATCGTCCGATCTGGCAAGCGTGGCATAAAGCTGCAAAGTAAATGAGATCTTTAGAATAACTGATAAACATATGTTTACAAAATTAAATATGTATACTTTATTGCATAAAACAAAACTCGATTAGGTTTAACTATTAGCTTCGCAATGCGCTGCCTCAAAGTCGTGCAGGTAACGCAAGCACTCCAACAGGTAACCGTGCGCGACCGTGCCGCTCTCCGTGAGCTGTGGCAGCTGCTCCATCGCGCCCACAAAGCCACGGTACTCTTTAATTTTGTGTGCCAGCAAATATGATAGCTCCGGCTGCACATTGTCGAATTGGTCGACATCGCCGAAGGCAATTTGATTGAGCACATTGGGAAAGTGCGCCTGCTGCTTGAAGATTAGATGCAGCACCACGCGCAAATTGTGCGAGCAGCCGTCCTGAATGTGCACAAACATTTGGTCCATTAAATTATGCTCCCTGATGAATTTAAAGATATTGCGATGATAACTCTGCGCCGCCAGCTGCTTATTGTGCGCGATGAGCTGTTCAATGTCCGACAGTGTAAACTCAAAATAGTCGTGTGCGTTGCGCTCCAAATAAAAGCCGTACTCAGTGAGCAGTTTCAGATTGGGCAGCGCTCCATAGCTGATGAACAGCTGTTCGTATGGTCTCAGCTCGGGCTTCGACAACGCGTCAAGCGTGAGGACATAATCCTGGCTCTTACTGCCGGGCACCAGCTGCAGCTCTGCTGTTGTCCGCACGCTGTCCGAGTGATTGAATAGATCCAGAAACGGTGCCAGAGCCAGATTGGCGCTGCCGTTGAGCAACGCCCGGAAATGGCTGCGTGCCGGCGGCTGCAGTTGATGAGCATTGAGGTAGACGCTACGCGTGTTTACAGCAAAATAGGCTCGCCGATACTCCTCCAGAGTCCAAATGTCCTCGCAATAGCGCTGACCACAGCACTCGCAATGCTGTGCGCCCACCAGGCTCTTCAGCAACTGGTAATAATCGCGTATCTGACGATTTTGTGCCACTGTGCGCTCCAGCACGGACTCGGGCAGACACTGCAGCTCGGACATGGCACAGAAATAGGGCGTCGTATAGCTGCCTGGCAGCGTGCCCAGATAGGCAGACCATGGCGAGTTTTGTGTGGTATCGTGCAGATGCTGCTGATGCATTAGATAGCAGGCGACAAGCGACTGGAAGGACATGCGCGAATCCTTGTCAAACAAATCAGTATTGAAGAGCGCCTTGAACTGCGCATCCGACTCCAGTGTGGCTATGCTTATGAGACAGCTGGCGGGCAGGCGTATCAGCTCATCGCCAGCCTGAAAACGTGTACGCTTGGAGCACAAGCCGCGTCCAGTTTGGGGGAAATTAAGTGCAGAAAGCTGACTATGATTGCGCCAACCCAAGGCGTGCAGCTGGCCAAAAAGCACGTGCAGTGAATCGCTACTATCGATTGTTGTTTGTGGGCCGCGACGATGTCGTTGGCGCTGAGTGCGTCCCATTCTGCGTGTGTGCTGTTTTGGCGCCCGTAAAATGCTTTAGGATGTGAGATTTACTTTAGGCTTGCTGCAACGAAAGAAGCAAGTGCGTACGTACTTAGTGCATTGAGTTAATTGCGAAAAGGGGCCAAAACAACACACACGCAAATTGTTGCCTGACCTCTTTGATGTCGTTCTGTTTTAACTTTTAATACGCATGCTGTCCTAATCATTAACATTTATCAAACTTATGAAATCGTAATCTAACCATTTATGCATATCACGAGGTGGCCTTGAATTTTGCTATGATATTTATTGTACTTACCACACGCGTTTGCAGTCGTGTATAAGTTTGTTTGTGGCATGCAATGTGGAAAGTGTATGTAAGTGTCTTCTTTTTACTGCACAATTTACTTAAGTATAATAATCCGGCCATAACTTTACGCGAAAACAAATACTAAACTCTAATATTCTGGTAGGGACTGCTAAAAATATCGATACATTGCATTTGAAGCGATGCATTGCGATATCACTTGAGTGTGGCCAGGTTTACCGCGTAAAAATCGAAATACCAAAAAATAAATACTGCTGTCGGCTGTTGACGTGCCTTGCGAATGTCAAAGGCTTATTCTAGAAAAAACGAACACAGCCGGCTAAAATGTTTGGCTTAATTATTTCCGGTAGACTGGTGAGTTATTTTATACACTATAAGATAATCTAATACACACCCACCCACACAGCCCCAAACCGATTTTGTTGCGGTAGATGAAAACAAGCTATTGATAAACGTGCCAGACATTGAAGCTGTCAATTATGTTGTTATTTTTTTAACTGGCATCTCACCCCTGCCCCTGGGCACCGCAGCAGCCATCTACTTCAGCTGGCCGGACGCGAATGCAGCACCCACCTGGCAATATCTGGGCCACATAAACAACAACAAGCCATCAGCGATATTCAAAATAGCACAGCTTAAGAAGGGTCACGAACTGGGGACGCAGGCAAACGGCATGGTTTTTGGCGCCCAGGAAATCTCACACATAGCACAAATTGGCATATCCATTGAGCCCGAATTGACAGTCGCACAGCAAACTCCGGCGGTCGTAAGTCATCAGTTTATGTCACACTCGCAATACAAACACTAATATTTACACAATTTGCCCGTGCACAGTCCAGCGCCAACGATAACAAACAATTTGGCCAGCGCATGTTGGAGAACTTCTTTAATTATGCGTCCAGTTTTTGTGTAGGCGTGCCAGAGATACCGCCCGCCACAACAGAAACATTTGTGCCTTTTTCCGTTGTCCAGAACTGGTACACAAACTTCCAGAGGCGCATGGAGCAGAATCCCAATTATTGGAAGCAATGTTAATCATATTTATATCATATCAGTAAGCTGAGAATATATTTTAAGTACACATGTTGATGATGTCATTAACTAAAGACTTTTAATTTTAGTTAAAATACAATACTTGGCTCTTTTTCTAAGCGAAATACGGCAAAACTGAAATTTAGTTCACCTCATTCGATTTTTACAGGCTGCTTGTGGGATCATTGGGAGTCACTTCATCTTCAGATTTTCTCAATCGCTTAGCAGATTCATTTTCATCTTGCTTATCTTGCTTATTATCTCTGTCAGCAGCTCTTTTGGGTGCTTCTCTCTTATCATTTGATTTATCTGACGGCGTAACTTCTTTTTGAGCTAACTTCGGTTTATTTCCTGGCGCGCTTCCCTGCCCAGGCTTGCGAGCTGGTGATGGAGCCGTTGTTGGTGCTTCTGGTGCCGTTGATTTACGTGCCGGGGATGGTGAAGTTTCTGTTGGTGGCTCTGCTGCCAAGGACTTACGTGCCGGTGAGGGTGAAGTTTCTGTTGGTGGCTCTGCTGCTGCAGCGGGTGCTGCCTTTGCGGACGGTTTCGGTGGATTAGCATTTCCTGTTGGTGCTGGTGGTGCCCCCTTGGCACCCTCCTTCTTTTCTCCCTCCTTCTTTTCTCCCTCCTTCTTTTCGCCCGCCTTCTTTTCGCCCGCCTTCTTTTCGCCCGCCTTCTTTTCGCCCTCCTTCATTTTGTCCTGTTTGGCTTTCGCCAAGCTAGCTTCGGACTGTTGGACGGCCGCTTTTTGCTCCTGCTCCTTGATCTCCTTGATGCGCTTCTTATTCTCTTCGGTCAGTTCACCAAAGAGGCCAGTCATGATAGCATCATATTGCGAATAATGCTGCACCTTGTTCCCGGTGGATGAGGCCGAGTTTGGTGGTCGTCCGTGATAATTAATGCCACGGCTGTGGGTTGAATGCGTTTTCATTATTTCAAGGGATCAAAACTAAAGCAAATTGTGCTCTGGTTATTTATGTTTCGCTTGCCGCAGAACAGCCGGCAACTTTTGGCAAGAACTCGCGACATACAAATACCCGTGTGCCCATATGCATATATATATATATATATCTATGTATATACTATATAATTTGTATACCCACATATATATATATATATATATATATATAGGTCCATTTGAACAGCACGAGGGGTTTTTTAATTTCCTCTCTTAACCAATCTTTCTTTTTTGTGGTCTACAAAAAAACAATTTGGCAAGCTGACACAATTCTATAGTCTATATAATCGAACGTGCATGCTATATATATATTTATATATGTACATATATGTTGTAGTTGCAGACACAAATTGTTTCAATTGCCAGAAGAGAGCTGGGAATGTTTTTGTTTTGAACCCTTTTGCTAGGGCCAACAAGGGTACACTCATTGTTCTGGTTATCTTTGTAACAGCTTATTTATAACTGTTAAATTAAAAGCTTGGAAATTCGCAGCATTTAAACAAAGAAATATTTGCTGAACCTGAGCAACATATACGATTCTTCGCAGTGTATTCAAAGTTCGACTTTGATTACGAAATAAACTTCGGCATGTAAATGCACACAAAATTAATTGGCATATCTATGTTTGTATATTGATTTCGCATTTGTATATGCAACAAGGCAACTTTTGTCTAGCTATTTGCTGCTTGTTGATAGATGCCCCCCGTTTTTTGCCAGTTCGTGTTGCAGCCTAATGTTGAATGCAGCAACAAATTGCAGCGCGTGTGCGAATTTTGAAAAAATAAATAAACGCAAAAATCGAAAACAAAAATAGGTCAACAACAGAGCAATCAAAATAAAAACGCGCGGGCGTTGTCGTTCCACAAATCGGTCGCTAATAATCATCATAATACGCAAATATTGCCTGACGCCATCATAAAGCATAAGGCTGAGTCAGCCATGTTGTCAAAAGCAATTGTGAATGGATTTCCGCTGCCGGAAATGCCAATTGATGAGCAACGATTTCCGCAACAGAGGGCGCTGCTGTGCCACAGGCCACAGCCGCAAGCCCAATGGCAGGTGCAGGTACAGCATCAACAACAAGCGAGATTTGCAAAGGCTGCGCCTGGAAAATTTCCGCTGTGGCATATAGATTCCGCACATGCCACACCACAATTTCCAGTGCAGCAGCAGCAGCAGCAATATGCAGCAGATATGCCGAACAGGAATAATACCCTAGCCAATATACCCAAACGATTTCCCGGGCAAGTGATTCACTTGCACAGATTTCCTCTGCTATGCCAATTAACCAGGAGGAATTTCAATTATGCAGCTCAATCAATAGGCACGTTGCCGGTGAGCAGACCAACCGTGTCTACGTCAAGGTCGACGATGCTTAACGTATTTCCCACAATTAAAAAACAATTTGTTAGCTTTACCAATAATCAGTTTGGCTGTAAGGAGCCGCAAAATGCCAATGGAAATGAAAACGAGGCAGCAGCAACAACAACGTTGCGAGCGGATGTGGTGCCCACACCAACAACACGAGCGACAACAGCAACAACAACAACAACAACAATGACGCAGACGAGCCACAATATGAGCACTAAAATAGACATGCCTTTGCCTGTTGATGCTGTCAATGATAATGATGATGATGCTCATCATCATGATGATGTTGATGATGATGATGTACGGATGGCGGCATTTGATAATGAACTCAACGCTCGCGAGCAAACATTAAACTTGAACGTGGAAGCCGAAGGCGTTGTCGTTGTCGTTGGCGAGCTAAAGGAAATTGAGCAGCAACAGGCGGAAAATTTTAATGACGCCTTCGGGTGGCGACATGACAATAACAACAACAACAACAACAACAACAACAATAGCGATGGCGACGCCATGAATATGGCCAAAAATAAACGCAAAGTATGCGAGCAAAGCAACAAATTAGAGGCGACGGCAACAACAGCTCATAATGAGCTAAATATGACTAAAGAGCGGCAGTCAATATGCTTGCCCACTGAGCAGAATCAAACAATGGCCGTGCCAAACGCCTCCAATCGACAGCAGCGCCAGTCAGACGCGCGCGAATCGTCGTCAGAGCAAGTGGATGGTCAGCATCAGACGCCATACGTAATCATCCCAACCGTAAACGAGTCAGCAGCGTCTATAGAATCCTTCAAGAGTGCGCTGCGCGTGTTGCTAGACGAGGGCCAGAATCGTGCGTCGCGTTTGGATCTCGATTTGGTGGATCTATTGGTGCAGCTGATTGAGCAGTTGATTGTTGCGCCCACGAGAAGCACGGGTAACCTTTGGAGCAGCGAGCAGCAGCCGTCGGTTGAGCAGGTGGTCGGTGAATGTGCGGACATGACTCTGACCAAAGCGGTTGACGACAGTGAAACAACAGCCACAGCTGCTGACATTTTTAGCGAGCAAATCGAGCAGCCGCCAGCGGAGCTGGATGAGAACAACAGCAACAACAGCAGCAGCAGCAACAGCAACAACAACGGCAACCAAGGAGGCGAGATGAAGTATGAGCTACTGAAGAGCACAGCTCGCCTGCCAGAAACTCCATCGAGTCGTCTGTCCAGCACAGCAACAGTTGCTCCCGTCGTCGGGCTAACGAGTCGTATACGTGATGTGGCTGGAGCTGTGCCCACAGCAGCCACATCGCGTCCGCTGCTGGGCGATATTAAGCGCAGCTCCACATCACGTGACGACATCTCAATCGATGTGGACTCTCTGCTGCCGGAGCGCACGCGTTTGCGACGCCAGCGACGCATGCGCTCTCAGGAGTCGGTCGAGGAGAAGCCGGAGGATGTAATCGAGCGCCTGAACAAGCTGAAGGCGCGCATTACGGGCGCTCTCAGCGAGGTCAAGGGCGTGCTTAAGCAGTACAGCACGGAGAGCGAAGCGGAGGCAGCCGGCGAGAAGTGGCTCGGACCGCCAGCGACAACGTCAGCGGCGGCGGCGGCGGCGACGGCAGATACAGGTGCGGCGGCGGCGATGGCAGAGACAGGTGCGGCGGCAGCGGAGTCGGTGCCAGTGCAATTTCGTTTTATAAAGAAAGTTCGCAGGCGCAGCTACTTTAACGAAGCAGACGAGGACAAGGAGCGGGAGCAGTTGCAAGCAAATGATGCAACTGCAAGCAAAGCGATTGAGCAGCAGGCACAGGCCAAAGAAGAAACTGATGCGGTCCTGGAGGAACTAAAAAAGCCAGCAGACGTAACTTCAGAGAGCAAAGCTAATGAAAAACAGCAGCAGGAGCAGCAAATAACAGCTGCCAGTGCAGAAAATGCAAAAATACAAGCCAAATTGGAGTTCCTGGCAAAGGTGCAAAACGAACTCAAGTCAAAGCCAAAGGAAAAAGAGCCTGTCAAGGAGGCAGCCACCGCAGCAACATCAGCCAAGGAGCAGCACAAGGAAGCAGCTACAACAGCAACAGCAAACCAGGAGCAGGCCCAGGAGAAGTCTAGCGAGGCAGCCACAGACGCAACAGACATTCGAGAGCAAGCCAAGAAAGCAACAGCAAAAGTGGAGCAGCAACAAGAGACAGAAACAACAGCAACAGCTGTCGAAATGCAGCCCAAGGAAGCGGAAGCAATGGCCACGCCTGCTGCATCAGTCAAAGAGCAGCTGCAGCAGCAGCCTGTGGAGGGCGTGGAGGCAAGCTCCACAACAGCAGCAGCACTGCCCGCAGAGTCGGCCACGCAGCCGGCAGAGACGTCCAAGAGCGCAACTAAAAAGAAAATAATTGTAAGGGTGAGGAATCCACGTCGTGCATCGATTGCGGCCGTGGAGCCATCCAAGATTAAGCCGGAGCCCGTGCAGCTCGATGCACTGATACAAAGGCGACCCTCCGATTCGGAAGCGATTGTCAAGCGCAAGAAGAAGCAGAGATTAATGAGCAGCGCAACAGCAGCAGCAGCAGCAACAGCAACAGCAACAACTTCCGGCAGCAATCAGAGCTCGGCGACTGCAGCTCGGCCACAACTGCAACAGGCGACAACGACAACAAATGAACAACTTGTAACTGCAGAGGTCAACAACAACAGCCATGCAGACACTGCCAAAAGCGCAACGAAGCCAACTGCCAAAAGCGGCGATACGCTGCCAGGAGCAGGGGCGACAGCAGCAATCGAGGCGACAGCAGCAGCAGCAATATCGCAAGCGGCGCCAAAACAATTGCCAATCGATGGCTGCGACAGCAATCGAGCAACAGACATCGAGCAAAGCAGACGGAACAGCCTCAAACTAGCCGAATTGGTGGGTGAAACGGTGCTGGTGGTGCCAGCAGCAACAGCAGCAACAGCAGCAGAAGCAACATCAACAATAACAGCAGCAACAGAAGCAGGAGCTACATCAACAGCAGCAACAGTTGCAAGTGCAATCCAGAGCCAGTGCAAGGAACCCATTAATCGGTCGTCAATTAGCCTGCCCCAACAGGTGGTTGTTGGCGTTGACATTGAAGACGCCCCCGTTGATGTTGCAGTCGCCGCGACGCCACAAATAGCAGCGACATTGAGCGAAGTGTCGCACGAAGAGTCATCGCCACAGCAACAACAACAACAACAACAACAACAACAACAAGAGCAGCAACAACAACAAGAGCAACAACCGCCGATAGTCGCTGCTACAAAAGACAACGCACAAGCGCAGCCCAGCAACAGTCTAGCCGCCATGCCGGAGCTGAAAGTAGTTGCGGGTCCCGTGCAGCCCGTCAAGATTGAGACGGTTGAGCAGCGGCACGATGAAGCCGATTTGGTGGTGGCCAAAAAGCGACCGCCGCATCTCAAGAAACTGGTACGCAAGAGTTCCATAGACAAGGGCAAGGAGAAGCTGACCCAGTCGACCGATTCGGTCAAGCTGAACAACATACTCAAGGATAAGAACAAGATCGGGGATCTGGCGCATCGTCTCAACAAGCAAACGCCGCCCAAGAAACAGAGCAAGCCAACCAAGGAGCAAGCGGAAGCAGCCACAGCCACAGAGCAGCAGCAGCAGGAAAATGCGCAAGTTCCAGCAATCACAAATGAAGCGCAACTCGAGCTGCCGCTTGAATCGGAAACGGAAGCAGACAAGGAGGCAGCGGAAGCTGCCACAGCGCCAGCAGCTAAAAAGCCGCGTCAGATCAAGAAGAAGGTGATCATCAAGCGACAAAAGCGACGACTCTCCATTGGCGACACATTCTTCATGCAGCAGGAGCCGGAGCCGGAGCCCAAGCTGGACGAGATTGAGACCATCGAGAAGGCCATTGCCTATGTGACCGATGATGAGGCGGACGACGAGCCGGAGCCGCTGGAAACGGAGCCACCGAAGCCGCTGAAATCCTGCCTGCATGTGCGCGAATATAAAATAGGCGACTTGGTGCTCTATGCTGAACGCTATCGCAAGACCCAGGTGCGCTGGAAGCGTGGACGCATCCTGGAGCGCATCACCAGCATTTCGTATAAGCTCGACATCGAGGGCAAAGAGGTGCCCGCCCACATAAGCTACATCAAGAAGTACACGGGACGCAAGGTGAAATTTGTGGGCAAAGAGTATCTGGACATTGACTACGAGCAGGTCGTGGAGGAGGAGCGACGAGCGCGCAGCTACAGCATCTGGAATATGGTCTAATCCATATAATCACGCCCAAATTGGAGCAGCAGTAAATCTGTGTAAGTGTGTGTCCTCCGGATTGTGTTCGTCGCCCCTTAACCCCCCAAGAGTTTTGAGTGGAATTAGAAAAATGTTCGTTGTTCATACAACAATGGAATTTTTTTAAGGATCTCAGGCATGACATTCAGTTAACTTATAGTGTTTGTCTCTAGCTAGTTTAATAGCCTGTAAATATATGTATATGTATGTATTTGTTAGTTTAGCTCTATATATCCTAGTGTTAGTTCTAATTTTGTATGTACGTAAATTATTCCAAGGATTCAGCGACTCGTTCTACTGTTATTGCTCGCTGCAAAGTAACGAGTGGCGAGTAACGAATAACGAGTAACGAGTAGCGAGTAGCGAGCGTGTCGCTCAAAAGTAACGAATTTGTTATAAAATTTCACGTTGCCTTTCGTTTAAAAGTTTAGTTTACCATTTAAGCAAAAAACCAAAAGATATAAAATTATTAAAAAAAAAAATACAAACAAAAACAAACAATGAAATCAAATGTTAAATAAAGAGAACCAAATATTTCAACTATGTGCATTTCGTATTATTTACATCATCACATCGAAAGAACAACAAGAATTTTAAACACAATTACTCATAAAATTTTTATGAATTTGTTTATATCAAAGTTGTGCCTTATTTTTCATTTCGTGTTACCCTAAGCCCGCCTCTCTCCCGCCCTGTTATTCAATATATATTTATAGATTCTGCGACTGTGTGTGTGCATATATAACATCATATATTGAAATGAATGAATAAAATCAAAAAACCCAGGCGAAACGAACAACAGATCTCTGACCTGTGCCCGTGTTTTGCCCTTCCCCTCTTTTGTGCCTTTTGCCCCACAGGGTCGTCGGTTTTATAAATAGGCCTCAGGCTATATAGATCTCCGGCCAGCTTTGCCATATCTTATCTATATACACTAATGAACAGAAAATCGGACATTTATCGCTCGCCCACTCCATCAACGTCTGCGCTCGCATCCCTGAGATGTGGCAGAGAAATGCGTGTCATTAATAAAAGTTTGGCGTAATGCATTTAACCAAAAATCGAGACACTTTAGAAAAACAAAAGCGACAAATTTTTTGCCAAACGTTGCGGGGCCTTTCTCATAATTGATTGCCAAGGCGTCGCTTGGGGCTTTTTGGTAGAGAAATCCCTCAAAATTATTGCCTTGCCTTTGGTACAAGAACACATTTCATTTGCGCTGACAACAACAAACAACAAAGAAATAGACTTTATACATATTATATATATAGTATATATAGTACTCATATGCCATATACATATGTTGGTACTTATAAATGAGATAGTCTAGCAAATATGCTACATTCCTGGGATTTAACAGCGCGTCTTTGTGTGCCCGGCGCTTTTCATTCAATTCTGATGGCTGGCAACATTGAGCAGACGCGATTAAGAATACGTATATATATATACATATATATATCAATGCACATACATATGTTTAGTGCATGCACATTGAAAATCATATCTAGATAGGAAACTTTGTGATTGCTTCTCGCTTGGAAGGTAAATTGTGGATATTGTGTTTTAATTAAAGAAATGTTTATACAGCTCTAGACAAACCTATTCAATTGATAATCAACGCCCAGCTTAAAACGTAAGATTGCCCAGAAAATTATTTCCAAAAGAACATATTTAGTAAGCGCTACAGCTATTAAAAACAGAATCACCCACAAGCGTGGAATATTCGCGGAAAACGTTCGTATGAAACTTATTTGTTAACCAGCCGATTGGATGTAAGATCAAAGATCTTTGTGGAAAATCATATGAGAGTGCTTTTTACACTTTTCGCATAAGCCACCAATTTTTAGTGCAAATAAGAATCAAGTATTATTTGGTCCACTTTTCGGATTCAAACTAATAATCACGGAACATAAAAATTCACTCGATAGAGGTTTCGACAAATTGAATCAATTCTAAGCGCTACTCTACAAAATGATTTCTATTTTACCTATGTACAATATTTATAAACATAATTTGTAATAGGCGAAGAATGGTTAGAAGAAAAAATTGGATCCGTGCAAAGCTGGGTAATACATAATTAAAAAATTTCGTAATTTAACCTAAAATTTGGGTCTGATCAAAGTTTAAATTGTTAATAAAAGCTAGAAAAATGTCGAAATGTTTAGATTTTGTTTTATTTGTTTTTTTTTTCTGTTTCTTTTTGAATTTTTGCAGTGCGAAATGTTCCGCTCGAGGCCTTCGTATGTTTAGGGAAACAACTTTGTAGCACTCTTTGGGGACCACAGAAAATTTCCATAAATCAGCGCACAAATTTAGCGAGCCATTAGCAGGACGACTAGCGCATAGGCGATATATGTAACATACATATATGTCGCCACATTAAATTTAATGTCGAATTCTATAAGAAATGGCAACGGCACAAATGCTAAATTCAATATAAAAACCGGGCCGAAAGAGCGAGGCGCTGTGTGTATGTGTGTGTGGGGGGTATAGAGGGATTTGTTTAGTATCAAACGCCGACTAAAAACTGTGCCAAGTTCCTTGCGCTAGTTTCATGCGACAGCGACATGGACATCCACAGCCACAGCCACAGCGACAACCACGTCCACATCGAGATGTCTGTCTCGCAATTTGTTCAAAGTGCATAGCTGAGAGAGCGAGGCCAGGCTAATTACTAACAACGCAAAAGCCAAATTGAAAATAATTATTGGAGCCTTCAAATGGCCAACATGCTGCCATTTATCGCAATCACAGAGAATGGCAACAATTCTCTACAAATTACTCAACGAAATCAAGGAAATAATGTTGCATTAACATGTGAACTTTGGCAAGGTCAAATCAAAAAAAAATATAAAAACCAAAATAAAAAAAAAAAATGAGAAAAAATTTTCCAAGAGGTCACTCGAAGAAAGGCCAAACATTAATCTGACGTGAAATATTTTTAAATGTTTACAAAATACGCGCATTTTCTATAAATCTAATGGGAGGAGCAGACAGATCAGCCTTCAAGAGTTTTTTTTTTCTAGCATACCCTGTAAATACAGACCGTGGCAGTGGGGTATACACACGCATGGGTAGAGTATGGCACATGCGTAATATTATATGCATATTAATTTGGGTTTTTTTTTCTCTGATTGTCTCGTCTGGCAAAGTCTATTCGATTCGATTTCAGCGTCTATGAGTTAAGGGATATAATGGGCAAGTTCTCATCATATAGTAAGATATTCCATGATTTAAATAGAACATCTCAATTGACTTCCCTACGTTTAATGTTCATTCTATTCGATCTCAGAGACTATATGAATAGGTAATACGAAATTTAGTATCCAAGTTCTCATTAAAAACCCATAAAAAGTGTGCTTTATAACTTGAAAATTAGGCTTAAATTTAAATAGTATAAACATCCACGTAATGCTTTGCGGAATTTTTTATAAGAAATTTGTATAGAGTTCAAAGTATCAAAGATTACCAAAGATAATCTAACGATTGTAAAATCAAGTACTCGCTATGTGCATATCTATTTACAGGGTATATAGCTGGTCGGCTTTGCCGGAGGATCGTCGCCCTGTTTTGGGGGCGACGGACGTTGCTTGGCACACGTTTCGCTTTGGGGTTTTCTGATTCGAAAATCGATTAAAGTGAAAATTCAGCTAATAGTTGCCTTTGGGTGTCAACCGCTGCCTCTGCCCGATATGGCGTCATGTGGCCCGACGCCATTTTGAATCATGGCGAGCGTTTTGGCGCTGGCAAAAGTCGTCACCGACAACGCAGAGAATCGGGCATCAATCGAACAATTTGAAGGCGCGTCGCACCTGAATCATTTGGCGACGTGGCAGTAGACCAAGGCCTGGCATTGCGCCTTGGCATTTAGCGAAACTTTCGGATAACCCCAAAGAAAAAGATTGCCAAATCGTTGGCAAACGACAGGTGACAACCCTGTTAAACAAGTGAAATACGATCTGCTAAAGCACTGAAAAGTCAGACTTACCTTTCACCCTCCATCTTCAGAATGGTTGTGTCGAAGCGTGGCTGGATATAGCTCCAGGCGCCTTGGTTCTTGTGCTCCTCCTGGAACCAGATGAGCTCTGCAGTTTTATACTTTTTTATCTGCTCCAGGATCAGATCATAGGGAAACGGGCAGATCTGTAAAATAATTTAAATTAATATTATCATTTTATTGATGAAGTTCCAAGCCAAGTTACCTGCTCGACGCGCACGAGGGCGCAAGTTGATTCCTGCTCGTGATCTTCGCGCTCCTTGAGCAGATCGTAGTATACCTTGCCAGAGCAGAAAACCAAATGTTTGACGCAATCCGGATTTTCGCCGGCCTTACCCGTATCGGGTATGAGACGCTGGAAAGAGCTGCACTCGTTAAAGTCCCGGAAAGGACTGCGCGCCTTCGGATGACGCAGGACAGATTTTGGCGAGAAATTGATAAGCGGCTTGCGGAAACCCAGCGCCACCTGACGCCGCAGTGCATGGAAGAGATTCGCTGGCGTCGTCAAATTGGTCACAATCCAATTGGTGTTCATCAGCTGGCGGGCCACAAGGTCCGCATCGCACATGTCCGGAAAACAGTCGGGATCATCGTCGCTGAGCTGTAGAAAGCGTTCAATGCGGCCGGAGGAATGCTCGGGGCCCATGCCCTCCATGCTGTGGGGCAGGAACATACACAGGCCGGATTGACGCACCCATTTGGTCTCACCACTGGCAAGGAAGGTGTCTATAATGGGCTGAGCGGTGTTGGCGAAGTCACCGAACTGCGCCTCCCAGATGACCAGGGTGTTGGGATTGGCCATCGAATAGCCCGTCTCGAAGCCCAAGATGGCGCACTCCGACAACGAGCTGTTGCAGACATCGTAGGGCGCCTGATCCGGATATAGATGCTGCAGCGAATTGTAGCGCACGTTGTCCTTGGTCTGATGGTGCAGCACATGATGGCGATGCGAGAACGTGCCGCGCTCCACATCCTGCCCGGATATGCGCACATGTATGCCATCCTTAACCAGCGTGCCAATGGCAAATGCCTCGCCCAGCGACCAATCGGCTATTTTCTCCTTGATCATGTTCTTGCGCAGGCCCAAAATACGCAAAATGCCTCTGAAGAAAGAAAATAGTCCATGTGAATGTTGCATAATATTAGAATGGTTTGTTCCTATTTGATCGGCGGACCAGCAAACTAGAAGTCGCCGGTTCAAATTCAACAATAATTGCTAATTAATTGCTTATTTAATTTGTTATAATTAGCAAACGAATAAGATTGGTTTGGTGTCTGTCTAAAATCATTTTAACCGGCCGTCGCCGGGTAATTTCTGCATTAATACCATTTAACTTACTTGTGCACTTCGAACTTATGTTCAGCTGGCGGCGGCGAGGAATATATTTCGCCAATATGCTGCAGAGTTTTGAGGTTAACTCCCGTTGGGCACACCCTTAGACGATCCCGGCCCTGGAAATAGCCGGACCAGGGCGAATCCAGCCAGTGTGAATTCTGCAGGGCATAGACAATGGCAGTTAAAATTTATATTGTTTGCAGCTTGGGTTATATAGACTGACCTTAAAGGTTTTGATCTTCTTGGACTCTTCGAAGGCCTCATTGCAGATATTATCATATTTCTTGACCATTTCCGTGTATTCCTCCATTTTGATAACCCCATCCCTGGTCAGCTTCTCTGCATACTTCACCGTGCAGTTCTTGAGCTTACGTATGCGCTGGTACATTAGCGGCTGGGTGAACATCGGTTCGTCGGCCTCGTTGTGGCCATTGCGGCGATAGCCAACAATATCGATGACCACATCCTTGTGGAATTTCGCACGCCAAAGGGCAGCGACACGGGCGCAATGGACGCACGCCTCCGGATCATCGGCATTTACATGGAATATGGGCGCGTTGACAACGCGGGCAACATCCGTGCAGTAGCGTGACGAGCGGGAGAAGCGCGGATCTGTGGTGAAGCCCACCTGATTGTTGGAGACCACATGAATTGTTCCGTGCGTGGTGTAGGCCGGCAGATCGGACATATGTATGGACTCGTAGACAACGCCCTGGCCACAGAACGATGCGTCTCCATGTATCAGCATGGGCAGGACCTTATTGCCCTGATAGTCACCGCGATGAAACATCTCGGCGCGTGCCTTGCCCAGCACCACCGGATTAACGTACTCCAGATGCGACGGATTGGCCACAACGGTGATGCGCACATTTTTATTGGACTGCCGATTCAGGCGCTCCGTAAACAAACCCAAATGGTATTTGACATCACCAGAGCCCCAGTCGCTGGCTCTCAGGCCATGAAATTGTGACAGAATCTCCTTCATGGGCTTGCGACAGACATTGGCCAACACATTCAGACGACCACGATGCGCCATGCCAATGTGGACGGACTCGACGCCACATTTGTTCGACTGATCGATGATCTCCTTCATGACGGGTATCATGATATCGCAACCCTCCAGTCCGAAGCGCTTCTCGGAGCTGTACTTTTTCGCCAGAAAGTTCTCAAAGCCCGTGGAGCGTGTTAGACGCTCAAGGATCAGTTTTTTCTCTTCAGGCTTGAAGTTTATCACGCCGGGCTTCTCAAATTGCTCGCGTATCCAGTTGCTCTTGTGGATTGACGTTATCATCATGTACTCCACACCAATATGACCACAATAAACGCGTTCCAAACGATCCAGTATTTCTCTGGAAAGATCATAGATTTAGCTATAGCGATTAAAATAATCTGTGGGACTTACCTAAGCGGCAGGAACTCCTCATCGCCACCAATCAACGTGGACTTGGGCAGCTTGAACAGGGCATTCAAATCATCTGTGTGCAGAGAAGGGATCGGGTCATGAACTGGTAATCTCGAGATCTTTAAGTAAAATCTTACTGAATATATAGGAGTAATGCTGTCGCAGCACAGCTCGCGTGGCCTGCAGCTTCCTGTCATCCGTGGCGGGAGAATGACCAGTTGGTCCCACAATGCCTAAAGGATCCAGGTCAGCGGCCAAATGACCGCGCGTCTGATAGGCTCGGATAATGGCCTGTACGACCAAATGATCGTCTATGTATTTCCAATCGGCCTGCGGTGCAGGATTTGTAGCAGAAGATGCGGGACGTTCTGAAACTGAGGCTGGTTGCCATTTACGTTTCTTGGGCTGACGCTGCCGGGCAGACGATATGCTCCGAGGCTTGCCACTGAAGTAGGCATCCCACGACTGTCAAGAAATTCGATTATAATCGTACAAAGAATTCGTACAAGAACTTGTTTTCTGTTCGTTCACCTGATCCACAGAGCCGGGATCCTTGGACCATTTTGAGTACAATTTGTCAATGTATATGGCATTGCTGCCGTTGGCCAAACTATCAGAATCATCGGGGGTTCGATTCTTTTTTGAATAGAGCTTTGAGGCAATTACCAGCGACCGTCGGCCTGCATTATAGCGGGCGTATTCGTGCCTCAAGCCCTGGGCTAAAATTGCTTGCCCGATGCGGCCCTGGTTGGGATTCATGGCTGCACCCGCAGAATTAAAACAATTGTTGAAACTTCACGTTAAATTTTAAGAAAATATTAATTTGGCCGGCAAGTAATCCGTATTTTTTGTTTCCTTTTTTTTTTTTTTGTTTTGCTTTCTCTGAATTACAACATGCTAAGCGATTTGAACTATTTTTAAAATGTAAATAAATTTTTATTTGTCAGAGCTTTGTACTATTTTTCATCTTTGATGTTTTAAGTGTTCATATGGCAACAAGGCATGCCGAGATTCGAATTTTGATATATATACACATATATATGATATATATATATGATATATATAAAGTTTCATTCCGGCATAGCTCTATTTGCGTGGCTTCTCCTCTGGCTTTGGAGTCTTCGCTACAATTTTCACATTTTCTTCGCGTTTCTTTCGATCCAAGAACTTTTGATCCTTCAGCTTTTCAATGCGCTCCAGCTGCGATTTGATAAAATCTCGTCGCGTGCAAAAGGGTTTCTCCTTCAAAGCCTCCTTAACACGTTCCACAGCACGCAGATGCTCGGCCAGCTCAACGGGTTTCTTTGGTTCAACATGGACTTTATTGGAGGTACTTTTGTTGGTTTGCTGTCGCTTGGGTTTGGAGACGATCTTTATGCTGTCTCTGTCTTTCGGTTTCTTAGCTTCCTCTTTTACATCTTTGGATCCAGTTAAATCTTCGTTAATTGGACTTAGAATTATGGTTCCAATCACGTAACTTTTCTCTTGCGATGGCGGCTTCGTAGTCATTTCAGCCAAATCGTTTGAACTATTTGAACTATTGATTGAACTTTCTGACCCTTCCTTCTGGTTAGTTACTCCAACAGAATTCTCTTTCTGAATTGTTTTCTCCACGGAATCGCTTACATTTTCAAATACTGTTTTCTGATTTGTTATTTGAACATCATCCGAATTATCTTTACTTTTTTGAGTTTCCTTTACAGTTTTCGCTGCCTTGGCTGTCTCCAGTTTGGCGCATAGATCATAAATATTGACATCACCCAATTTATCTAGCGCTGCACCAAACAAGACACTGCTGTTCTTGGCTAGAGTATCTTGATTCGGAGTTTGCTCAGCAGTTATCTGAGTTGCTGTGCTCGAAAAGTTTTCTACTTTACCTACATGATTACTTTGCAAAACGTCATTAAAATATAGCTGCCAGGACTGTCATAGAAACGCATATAGTGTATACATAATTTATGAAACGGTATTATGATTTTCATTTTACCTTATGTACAGAATCGGGGTTCCTAATCCATTTCGAGAAGAGATATTCCATATAATTTGCATTGGCATCGCTAACGAAACAATTTGGATTGAGCTTATCCTTGGACAATTTAAAAGCATCGAATTTAAGTTCTTTTTTTAGTCTGGACCCATTTTTGTCGGCATCTTTCTTTGAACCCCCATCGTTTTGACAACCCGTACTGAAACGTTGAACTCGTGGCCCTGAAAATGAGAACAGTGAAACAATTTTGAATTTTGTATAAGCAGACATATCTCCTTGTTATTATTTTCCCTTAAAATTTAATTTCCAAAAAACTAACACGCATACAATTGTGTTGCCCAACATAAGGCCTACTATTTTAACGGCCAAACGTTTGAGTGCTGCAAAACGCACGCAATAGTGTTGAACAACGACTATGCGGCAACTGTTGCTGTGCACTGTGGTATTAAGTCACTTATGACACGCTGGTCATACTGTCACAAAATAAGTGTTGGCAAAAACTGACAGATGCAATTGCCCAACACTTAGAAAACACTGCAAGTGGACGACACAAAAGTCCACGCTGGGTACAAAATTTATTTGTTTATTATTATTGGTATATATATAAACACCAATTGAAACAATTGACGCAGCTATGAATCAATTTCACACACCCTCATTCGGTGACGAAGTGTTCGAGATGAATGAAACACCCGTGGCCGTGGATCAGACACAACAACAAACTGCTGTAAGTTCAAGAGCTCGACCAGGATCTAGGAGCTGCCCCTAGTCCAGATGGGCGAGACGTAGGGGCTGCCCAAAACAAAGTGCGCGTCCTTGTTGTAAATATAAAAATTGCTGCGTTTGCGTTGTTTCTTGCTTTTTTTTTTTTTGTTTTTTTGGTTTTGTAAATGGTTGTAGAAAGTCTAAGGCTTGTGTTTAATAATTTATTGTTAACTTATCTACTTCTGAATAAAATCATTTAAGATTGTCGCATACTTCAATAGCCAGAGCTGGAGCCAAACGATGACGGGCTGCCGCCACAAACTGATATTGTTAAACGATTTTTAACTGGATTCAGCTGAATCGAATGCTTTTCCAGCTGAGTACATGCATTAATGAAGGGGCTCGCAACTGGATGTCAGTTTGATAATCGTTTTATAATAGTTGAAAGAGCGCCCAATTGGAAGCGTTCAGGTGGAGCTGCGCTTCTTTTCGATTTGTATTAGTGTGTGTGCGTGCGTGTATGTGTGTGTGCCCGCCAGCCCTAGGTGATGGCATCAGTAAGCGCATGAGGGTTATCGATACAAAGCAACAACAATTAACAGCAAAAGGCATCGCAAACGCTTATCAACAAACAACACGCACACATAAACATACACACACACACACAGACACATAGACGCACGCACGCACACACTCAATGAGCAGGTTGTGCGGACGCAACGCGTCTGCCGCGTCTCTCTCTCTCTCCGCGGCCCAACAACCATATGCGCCTCCATAGAGCCGTACGTGTTATGCACAAAGCACATGTACAAACATACGTACAGTATGTCAATAAAGTGTTTTGACTAACGAAAAAAAACTAATTTTTTGGGTTTAGTTGAAAATAAATGTACCTAAAAGTGAGAATTTTTTTTCAATTCTAATTTATTTCGATTCTATATTTTTCCTAGAACTTAATGGCAAAAAGAATTGTTAAATAACATTACCCAAACATTTTATAAAATTAAAAAACTAAAAACATTCAAATTTTATGCTGTCAATAAAGTGTTTTTACACGAAACTTTATTACTAAATAACAATGTTAAAAAAACAGGAATATTTTTTTTTAATACTTTGTGTGGCTGCCATTAGCGTCACATACAGCCTGCAATCGCCGTTTCATTGAAACAATAAGGTTTTGTATGTATGTTTCTGGAATCTTCTGCCATTCTTCCAGTACAGCAGCTTTTAAATCAGTTTTTGATTTTGGACTCCGCTTTGCGACTTTTTTTTTCAAATATGACCACACATTTTCTATTGGATTCATATCTGGACTTTGTGGTGGAGTGTCTAACACCTTTCCACAGTTGTACAACAGCCAAACTCTTACCATATGAGCTTTATGCTTCGGGTCATTGTCCTGGTAAAATTTAAAAATTGGCTTATTGTCCTCATAGAATCCAAATTTCTGTGCACTACTGACGAGATGTGTCTGTAAAATGCTCAGATATTGTCTAGCATCCATGGTATTCTCAATGAAGGTCAAATCTCCTACACCCTTGCTCGAAATACACCCCCACACCATCACTGATAGTTTTCCGAATTTAACGGTTGGAATAATATTGCGGTTTTCCAACGCTGTTAGTGGCTTTCTCCAGACTCTGGATGGCCCATCGTTGTAGAATAGCATCATCTTGCTTTCGTCACAGAATATGACGTTACTCCAAAAATCGTTCGAACTATTTACATGGACTTGAGCGAACGATAGCCGCTTCAAAATATTCGCCGCCGATAGTAGAGGTTTTTTCCTGGCAACTCGTGATGTGTAGTCATTGGAATTCAGTAATTTTCGGACAGTTTCATGTGACACATCAACACCACTTTCTTCCTTGAACTCCTGAGCAATATCCCTAAGCGAAATTTGTGGATTTTTCTCAATTTTTCTCAGAATTTTTCGCTTATCTCTGTCAGAAATTTTGCAGGGTCGACCACATACTGGCTTTGCCTCTAGCCTATCTTCCTTATTGGCTCTGTTTAATATGTTGTATATCGTTGCTTTTGATAAATTAAACATATCAGCCAGTTCCGAGACTTGACGTCCCATCTGATGGTTATAATACACCAGCTGAGCGACTTCAAAAGTTGTTCTTTTTCCTGGCATTTTATTTTTCATAAAATTAAAGCAAAACGTTATAAATTGCAATAGAAAATGACAAGAAAAGTCGAAGACACAAGAGAAGCCAAAACGCATGGGCCCAAATCTAACGGGATCACCCAAAAGAGAACGGCAAAACAATTTACCGTAGCTGTAAAAACACTTTATTGACAGCATAAAATGTGAATGTTTTTAGTTTTTTAATTTTATAAAATGTTTGGGTAATGTTATTTAACAATTCTTTTTGCCATTAAGTTCTAGGAGAAATATAGAATCGAAATAAATTATAATTGAAAAAAAATTCTCACTTTTAGGTACATTTATTTTCAACTAAACCCAAAAAATTAGTTTTTTTTTGTTAGTAAAAACACTTTATTGACATACTGTACATACGTTTTGTCTAATATAGAGTAGTAGCTGGGGAGGCGAGGCGATTAAATACATTTAGTTTGCTTGTCATTTGATTTATAATTCAACAGCCGCCGCCCAGATGAAGAAGTTGCTAGTGAGCCGCCCCAACTATATACATACATACATATATATATATATATATATATATACTAAATGCCCAGCTATTAGTTTGTTAATAAAAAGTTGAATGTGTCTCTTACAATTGGCGTTTTTTCATTGCAGTCACGGCGAATAAGTAGGCTTAGCAGCCTGGATCACTCCACGCTGGTTAATGACGACGACGAGGAGGAGCACATGGACTACGATACGCCCAGCAGCTACGCCAGCAACCAGATGACAACAACAAATCAACAGCCGCAGCAGCAGCAGCAGCAACAGTTGCAGCTGCCACAACAGGCGCCCGCCAAACCGCTGGCGCCGTACGCTCTCTTCTTTCGCGACACGATGACGGCCATCAAGCAACAGAATCCCGCCTGCACGCTGGAGCAGATCACGGCCATAGCGCTCAACATGTGGGAGTCCATGGACGAGAAGCAGAAGAACGTCTACGATCAGCGGCACGAGCTGGACAAGCGCGAATATGTGCGACAACTGCGCGATTATCAGCGCAGCCAGCAGCAAGCGGACACAGCTGAAGCACAGCAGCAACAACAACAGCCGCCGCCGCCGCCCGCAGAGCAGCCGTCGCCGGCCGAAGCCCTGCCCAGCAAAGAGGAGCCGCCAGCAGCAGCAGCCGCAGTTGCTGCTGTCGCTGCTGAGCCTGCTGTGGCGCAAGCGCCGCTGCCGCCGCCACCGCCCTCGGATCAAATACAGTTGCTAACGGAAGCGGCTGCTGTGCAAAAATGTACGCGCGAACAATGCAATAAGCCGGCGATAATAAATCCTGATTGGGAGGACGAATATTGCAGTAATGAGTGCGTTGTCATACATTGTCGCAATGTGTTTACGGAGTGGGCGCGTTCGTTGCAAAACTCGCCCACGTAGTAACTGTACTTAGTTGTCGCACTTGTAGGTATTAACTAAAAAAAAAAATACAAAAAAAAAACAACAATAAAACGTAGCTAATAAAACACAATCGCCGATCAGCTGTTTGGCACGCAAGCGCAGCGTTGCCAGCTGTCGGAAAAATACAAACAACATTTGGAACACTGGAATATGGCACAGACAAAATGGCGCGCACATTCAAATTCGTGTCTGCGCGCATTGTTTTTATACACATGCTTAGTATTTATGCATTTATAAATAAAATGAGAACACAATTTTACACACATATATATATATATATAACTTTTAATAAATACACACATTTATTAAACTTGCACTCCATTATCAATACATCAATGTCGATTCGCTTACAAAATACATCTTTGTTTCCTTTTTTTTTTTCTATATATATATAGATATATATATAGATTTAAAATGAATAAATTAAAAAAAATGTTCTTGGTGCGCGCCCGATTACGTTTAAATATTCAAATAAAGAACAGTATAAAAAATTGCATGGCTTAAAGTATTTACGAGTAGGAGGGTTAGAGAGAGGGTATCAATTTTTAACAATAGGTTTATAAGCCGCAGCGCAGAGACTACTTAAATGCAGCTGGCAAAGCACATAAATATATATATATATTTGTATAGTATTCTTTCTATATAGTTTATACGAGTACTCGAAGCACACAGATTGCAGCGTAAGAGGAAGAACCAAATAAAAAGCAAGCGCACATTAAATAATATCACCAAATTTTCTTTCATCTTTTTGACATTGCTTTGACTCTACCGGGCATACAATTCTTTACTATAAGTATTTAAATATGTTTAATATTTTTTCTTTTGTGGGGGTTGGAGGGGGAGGGCTTTGTTTAACGACAATAAGTTTATGTTGTAATTGTGTATATAACTGCTATAATTTTAGTGGGTGCATCTTTTTGCTTTGTAGTAACATGTTTGTTTTTTCTTTATTATTTCTTCGCTTCTCTCTATTGATTATTGATTTATTGTTAATGGTTTCCTGTGCCTGCAACTACATGCTATTATTGACTAGAGTTGCCTTATGGGACGTGTACGGGTTGTTTCGCTCGGCTCATATTTGATATGGACCTGTGAATGCAGAGAATACTTGAAAATAATGCTGCTTGCAATTCATAAAATCATAACAAGACTAACTGAAGGCGGCTCCTACTTGCAACATCATGGCAAAGTTAACATGAGCTTTTATATATCGTTTTCTCATATTCATGTTAGCTGTGCATGTGCATTGCAAAAACTGCACTGCGTTTATTAAACAGTCTGGCCACTATTGCACCTGAACTGTCAAATTATGGACGTGGCGTTGCCCCATTTCGTGGAATTTGCCATTAATGTTGCAATGAAGATGGAGCACATAACATGATTTTACATTAATTACACAGCAATTGTGTGTATATTTATCAAAATTGTGCCATTTTCAGTTAAAAGCAGTCAAAGGAGTTTCATCGACCCTCTCACCGTTCGTATATTTACTCCACAATCTGCAGTTCGGGGACATTTAAGTCCAAGTCGGCGCTGTCCTTGCAAAAGGTGCTGGAACGCTCCAGCTTGGACTCGACGCGCTGCCCATTGTTGCCGCTCTCCAGCTGTGCATCGATGAGCAAATCCAGTTTCTGTTTAACCGCCTGGGCGGCCTTATAGCCGCCATTCATGACGCCGTTTGTGTTCGGCCTGTGACCAGGTGCTGCCGGTGCCGCATAGCCGTTGGTCGCAGTTGTCGTGGTCTTGCGCAGCTGCAGCGTATTGGGACGTCGTGTGGGTATATTGGAGGGCAGACTGTTGCGCAAATTGTGCTGTTGCAGCATGCTGCTGACGGCGGAATGTGAGGAAGAGCGCAGCGGTCCGGCCGAGGCGCGCAATTGCGTTTCACCAGAGCTGAGCTGTTGCTGCTGCTGTTGTTGTTGTTGTTGCTGCTGTTGTTGCTGTAGCTTGTTCTTCTCGGCGCGCTTGGCGAGTATCTCGCGCGACTTGGCGGATAGGAAGCTGTGCCGGCCCTTGGCTGGCGCTTCACCGCCAGCCGGCACCGATATGGAACGCTGCTTGAACAGTTCCCGCGTGGATAAAGTGCTGCTGACCGAGGACAGCCGACTGGTGGCCGATTTGGTGGTGTGCACTGAACTGGGACTGGAACCATTTGAGGCGCCCGTTGCGGCCGCATTGTGCTGCTGCTTGAGCTGGCGCGTCGACTTGTTGGCCAACGTTGTGCCGCGCTGTATGCCCCTCAGTGGAGCCGACTGCTTGGCTGCTGCGCCTCCTCCATGTCCGTTGAGCTGCTGCACACGCGCCAGCTTGGAGCTGCTCGACAGCGATTCGTGTGAGATCGTTTTATTGGTTATGACCGAGCTCTTCATGCTCTCCGCCAGCGAGTCCACATTCAGATCGGACGAGTAGCGTTCACGTGAGCCGCTCTTGGCTAAACTGTCCGTGGACAAGTTGCTCGACTTGTTGCCCAGCCGTGTGCCATTGGCCGCACGGCGTATTGCCGCCGGACTGGAGTTGCGTGAACTGTCGCTGGAGGAGATGTGCAGATTCTTGGCCTGCGCCTTGCGTGCTGCTGGTATATTGGAGCTGGTGGCGCTGCGTATAGGACCCTTTGTGCTGTTCCCTGCACTTACTGCGCGCGGCTTTCTCGGCTCCAGGTAGCGTGCACGCACCTCACCCATGCGCACAGGCGCCGCAGATTTGGCCACTGTGTGGCTGCTGCTGGCACTGTTGGAGGCTGCGGCCTGCTCGGGCTTCCTCTGTGCCACGGGCGGCGCCTCGGACTGTGTGCGTCGATGCGTGCTGAGGCTGTGCCGTTCGCTTGCCGTTTGGGAGCTAGCACGCTGCGTCGCCTGCGGCACATAGGCGCGCGAGTTGGACTTGAGCAATTTACCTGTAATCAAAAGTTGCCATTAGAAGAGGACATCATTTGGGGTATATATATGCTTTAATACTCACTGTTGCCCTCGCGCAGATCGTGATTGCCTTGGGCCTGCACACCGCGCTCCGTGGTCTGGACATGGACCGCATCGTGGTTGGTCTGCGTGGCCTTGTACAGCTGCGTCTCCTGCGCCTGGGCGCGCTTCGTTTGCGCCTGTATGGCCAGCTTGATCTGCACCAGATCCTGGCTGCGTGTGCTGCCGCCAAATGAGAAGGCCTTGCTCACCGGTTTGCCATTGTTGCGCTTGAGATCGAGCGGCTCGGTGAGCCGAGCCATTGTCTGGATTTTCTTGCGCAGCTCCAGATCCATGCGCTGCCAGGCTGTCACACGCATCGCACGTGAGCATTGCCTAATCAGGCACTGTTCCACGGCATATACCAAGGCGCTGACCAGGCGTATGTACTCGGGCTGCCAGTCCAGCTGCTCCTCCTGCAGACCCTGCAGCTCCTTGGCCAGTTCACCCAGATTGACCGGCATCTGGATGAGCTTCGCCTGCAGCACTGTGTTCAGCCGCGTCACGCGCTGGTAGCTGCGGCACGCCTGCTCCGGCGTCAGTGCAGCCGCCGTCTGCAACAGCAGCGTCTCGAGTCGTGGAATGTGGCGACTGCGATCGTGTCCGAGCGAAAGGAACGAATCGCTGGCTATCAGGCTGGCAAAATGATCACCCACATAGCCATAGGCGGCGTCCAGTATGTCGCGCACCAGCTGCTCACAGATATGACCCCAGCGATAGGCCGACAGCTGCGCCAGCAGATGATCACAATCGAGCACCGTGTCCAGCACCGTCTCGGAGGTCTGAGCGCAGAATGTGTGTGTGTGTGTGTGTGTGTGTGTGGAAGAAGAGATCATTAGCTTCAACATGCTCAAATATCCGTGCACACATAGAAACTGGGATATACTTATAGACTTGGCCGGAATAGGAAGAGTTTTCTATAACACAACTTTGATCTATTGTTGCCAAGGAGGATATATCAGGGATCCCTATCCGTTCTGGTGAATTATTATTAATGCACTGCTGCAAAAGAAACTCGAACATATTTTGCACAGAAATATTCAGGCGGGGAGACGAACTGGACTATATATTGATTCAGCTGTTGATGCTTTAAGTAATCAACATGTCTTGAAATAATCATAACACACTTTAAAAGGAAGGGTATACAAAGGGGACTTAGAGTTAATATTTATTGAATTTGGGGAATAAAGGGGAAGCTATCAATAAAATGGCGGCATATTTATAAACGACAGACAAACGGACATGTCTTTATCGAGTTATGCTATGAGATTAATCAAGATTTGTGCCTCAATTAAAATACACCCCGCATAGTTACTGATTATGATTGGGACTTACCAAATAGGCAACAATCTGTTGACGGCAACGTCCGAGTATGTCCGACGGCAGCTGGGCAAATTGTCGTGTGGGCCACACTCTCAGATAGTGGCGACATGTCCAGCGCAAGCACTTGCGATAGAGATCGTCGAGCGCATGATTCAGTGCGACGGGCAGCACCTGCAGGATGCCATCGATGCAGCCGGAGCAGGGCTTGTGGAAGTTGTGGCAGTAGTTGGTTTTCAAAGCATGCGAAGTCACCTCCTTGAGCCCCTCCAGGCCCAGCAGATCGGCCAGCGCGGCCAGCTCCATTAGGCTGATGCCATCCGGCGGATGCGAGGCGCCCGAATAGATGTGACAGAGGGCAAAGTGCACCGCCGCATAAGAGTAGCCCTGCAGCGAGACGACGCTCTGGGCGCCGTGACCCGCCAGCATGGCGGCAAAGTACTGACACCGACTGCGCAGGATGCACTTGTGGGCGCGTATGCGACGTCCGTGCACCTCCACCAGCATATCGGTGGCGATTTCCTGCAAAAACATCTTAAGCAGATCCTCGCCCAAACGCCGCGGCTGGCGACAGCTCATGGAAGACTCGTCCATGCCGGAACGACTGAAACTGGAAGCCAAACTGGAGTCGCCACTCAAATCCGCCTGAATATAATCCAACTGCGGCTGGGCATTATCCAGGGGCATGTCGCCGGGCAGCGAATTGGAGAACTCCTTGCTGAAGTTGGGAAACAGACGCGACAAGCTGCGCAAATTGTCCACCGAGCTGGCAAATTGTTGGATATTATTGCTATTATTGCCGCCGCCGGTGGAACGGGTCATGGCCCACGAATGCGGCCGCGCTGTGGCACGTTG